TAAAATTTGATCTAGATGTTGTTCAAGAGTGGGTTGTAATGAGATCTATCCAAAACTCTCTGAAGATCTGCAGAGCTGCTGTTCTAGTAGATGACAGATCTATGTAGTTTGTCTGAAGTACATTAAATAGAAGCTCAAAAGTCCCCAAAATCCTTACAGTAATTTTCAGCCTGCTTAACAATGATCTACTTGACAATGAATGCTGCTGCATATCTTTTAAAAAAAAAAAATCCTGACCTCAGAGGCTATTCTATTAGGTGCTTTGATTTGACAGAGCGTTTTGCTACTTAAGTGTTATTAGGGAGGTTTTGTGGCTTATTTTCATGTCATATCAAGCTGCCTGGTGCTGAAGCTGTAAGGAGTTCTTTGTTTTGGCCATTTATCCCACTATATTGCTTTTTTTAGTAGAAATTGCTCCTGCAAACTATAGTCCCAGAATGATGCTTTGCGCACTAGAAAGTTGTAAGTATGAGGGCAACAATAAGAGGTTTCTAGTGAATGTGTGGTGTTCATTAACGTGTCATGTCAGAGAGGTGAAGTCAGTACGTTTAGTTGAAATACTATTCATCATTTGTGTGCAACCTTCTTTTTGTGTAATTACTGATGATGTGGTTTTGCACAACAGTATTAATTTGTAAAATAATATGATCCTTTTACATAATATGCTATGGATAAGGCATGAGGAAAGCTTTCTTAGGTTTCTATTGCACAGAATCTGGATTCTAAATGATGATGGTGACAGTTTTTCAGGATAGCCTATAAACGTTCAAAACTTACTGTCTAGTTGCAGATAATGCTTAGGTGTTACACTTGTGAGGAACTGCCTTGAAATGAAATCCTTTCTTTCTAGCTGATGTTTCTGATGCCATGTTATCTGGGGTATCGAGTGCAGATCTTATTGAGATATCAGGAATGCTCTTTCAAAATTAGAAACACTGAATTTAGGAAATCTGCTTCTTAATATCCATTCAGCATATGGCAAGAAAGCTTTGTGGTTTTTTTTCCATTGTACTTTTTTTAGTTTCAAAACTTACCAGAACCACATTCTTCAGTGTGCCCAAAATAGAGCTATTCTAAAAAAGAAAGTAGAGTTGAAAGCAGATTCAAGTGACAAATTTGTACGTGAGGCTTTTTGCTTCTAACTTCTTCTCTAGTGTGCTTAAAATTAGAATAAGATGTTATGAAAAGTCTTTCTGGATTTGTTTCTTGTTTTCTGGTTTGAGAGGTGCTAACGTGTCCCGGTTATGAAGAAACTTTCATATCATGTTGGGTTGTTTTTTTTTGTTTTTAAAGTTTCCCACTTCACAGATGGGTATTTGAGGTACTGAGAATTTCAGTTCCTATGAAATGCACAGCAGGTTTGCCTTGAATTATGTGCCTCATCTTATGTCATTACAGCTTATCCTCTCCAATTCAGCCAAAATACGTCTTTGGAGTGGAAGCAATGGGATGAGCTATTCTGAGTTATATAGGGAATATGGGAATGATGCTATCTAGTTAACATTTTTGAAACTTCCAAATTATGTAAAGTTTATGCATGAATTGCCTGCTGTAAGTGACTGAATGCATGAAGGCTAAACTGAGGATATCCTGAGCTGATTGGACTGTGTAGAAGATGAATGTAATTTTGCTGAAGAAGTCTCTTGACGTGTTATGCTTATGTCAAAACAAAACACAGAAGATTTTGCTTAGAAGTTTACAAGTGGATTGTATAAAGTACAGTTTTTAGATATTTTCATGCAGCCACCTGTGCTTCCCTCAGCTAGAATGGGATGCCTGGGAAATAGAATAGTAATCTTTCTCTCAAAACTGAGGAATGGTATGTTGTGCCTCAGATATGTACAGAAACATGTTCCTCAGGAGCCCATAACAAAGAAAATGAAGTTATTTCCCATGGCAGTGGTAAGAGTTGATCTATGTTTTGCCAGAAACTTTTTACTTGAAGTTTTATGTAACTCTGTTCCCTTTTTCCAGAGATAACAAAATATCATAACTTAGATAAAAAGCTTTTCTGTATTCGAATGTAATTTTGTGAAACTGTTTTTTTTTGTATGTGTAATAAAACCATAAAACACTGATATGGACATGGTAGAAGACGGAGAAGAAACCGGACAACAGCTGCTGCTGAGTTACGATGTTAAATGTTTTAAACTCCTTACCATTCCAGTCCTAGGAAAGTGACCTCAAAAATCTTCTCTTCCTTGTTTAATCACAGACGAATTCTTTTCCAAAGTGGAAGTAAGATCTTTCCTGATATGCAGTTTATCCTTATCAAAAACTTTATCAAATGTACAGAGATGTGAATCATCATTATTCCAAACAGCTTGTTTGGGGAGAATCTGACATGATCAGGAGAATGAGGAGTTTGGTAGAAAAGGTCTGTGTGGAGTGGGAAACTTTCCTGTTTGCTGTTCTATGTTAATGTTTTAGAAATAGGATTCTTCAGTCACAGTCCGTGAGAATTCATACTGCATTCAGTTTGTTCTTCCTGACTGTAAGTATCTCAGAGGGTAGGAGTAAATGTTCCTTAATGGTGGGTTTCAGGAAATCAGTAGTTCTGGACATAATGATGGCTACTTACTGTGCTGATTTCTGTACGTGTGCTTGAGGTCACTGCAGGATCTAAATAAGCCAGCAGATTGCAGTCTGAAAAAAGATTCATGCAGAAATTACAGTAATAATTTTAATATGCAGGTCTTAAGGCCACAGCAAAGGTCAGTTGTGTTATTTGATAACGTTACTAAGTGTCCAAAGGGTAATCTTTGCTCCAGGAGAGTTTGGGAGCACTGGCCCTCCTTTAATTATCCATGGAGTAACTGTAGTCCTTAAAAATGAATCACTGATTTGCGTAAGTTTCTTCATAGTGCACTAAACCCTGCCAGCTGCTGGTATTGCTTGCGCTGCTGCCTGTCCTTCTGTTTGCTGTCATGGTAATGATTTCATTCTTGGAAATGTTTTTTTATGTTGCTGCTGTTCAGAGCTATACAGCTGTTGTTGTGTTCTTGCTTTTAAAGCTTTGATTAACAGAGTTCAGACTCACCTCTACTTTACTGATAATAACAAAATATATAAATACCAGGGAAAATTTAGTATCAGTTGCTGAGTCTGGTGCTTGCCAACCAAAAGCATAATTGTATGTACAAGTTAAATATGTTTTATGTTCAAGTGCCTTATGGATGGTATTAAAGAGGGAATGATTCTGATTTTTTCCTGTATATGAATGCAGTAGGTACAAGCGAAGTTGGAGTGAAAAGGCACAGAACTTGGACTGAGACATGGGCTGGAATTTTATTTCATCTGGCTTTATTATATAGCTTGAAACCAGGCAGTTATATCTTTATAACTGTTATTAGATGGCACTAGGGTGCTTATTCAGTGTATGACATGGAAGATATGCTTGTAAAGAGACAGATAGACTTCTCAAATGGAGTGTTTGTCACCCTTCACTTAAATACCTGGTCTAAAGTCTAATTTTACCAGTATATCTTGTCTGGCAACTAGTATCAGGTTTAAATTCACTTAAATGTGAATGTATTAACTAGCCTAATTTGAAAGAATACTGTTTGCAGTGCTAGATCTGCTTCCTGCAAAGCAGATTCCTGAGGAATGTGCAATTTTAAACAAGTATTATTTTTTGGACAGATAAGGAATGGCCTGCCAGCCATACGTAAAGTCTGTGTTCTGGTGGGCTGATATCAGCCTGCTTCCAGCCTGTCTTTCAAGTTTCTGGATAATATGAGGATGCTGACCAGTCTAGCAGAGTCTACACATGCTCTAATGGAATAGCATTTGGCCCAAATCCTGCTGAAGCCAAACACCGCACTAAGGCTATTCACATCTCCATTTCTTCATCTTCTTGTTGGTGGCTTTTAAATGGAGGCAGAAGGCAGGGCAGGGTGGGAGTGTTATCCTTCTTATATATATCAGACTTCCTGGATCTTTTGCCATTGGTTTATGTCATCATGACCAACTAAGTATTTTATTTCAGCTATTTATCTGTGCATTCTCTTTACGATACGTGAGTGCCTTACATGCGAATAGAGTTTCTCTTGAAGGTCTTTTGAGACTGTGTGTTTGACCATGAAGTTGGTTGATCACCAAGGAGTTTGAGCAGATTGGACAGCTCTGTCTTGCTTCTTGCTGTCTGGTCCTAGAATTAAATGCAAGAGTATTTGAGCACCTATAGCTTCTGGAATCGACGTGGGAGTATGTGAAAAATGGTTATTCCAGTGGCTGTAGTGATTTTTTTTTTCCAGTAGTGTTAAAATTTAAACAGAATATTATTGTCTAGTCCACTTAATGAATGCCTGCTTGTGTTCATAGCTGATGATGAGCAGAAACTCTGGCAAGTTCCTCCTAAGAACAAGAGAAACGTCAGTGATAATTACTGGGTGGTTCTTCTCAAGATCTGCTACTCTAGGGGAAGAAGGGAGGAAGAAGGCTTTCTCTAGCAGCCCTGTGATTTACAGTTGCAAGAATAGCATAGCTTTTAGTTCAAGGAATTATTTGCTATATGTCTGAACGTTTCATGTTTCTAGTTTTGATAAACTTCAGATTTGGTTATATTTACCTTCTCTAGCTGCTGAGTTTATGGTGGTTTTAATTGGAAAAAGCAAATTCCAGAAATATTGTGTTGCAGTTTGTGCTATCTGAGCACTTGGCTGCAGGAGGGGATGAGGTCATTGTGCTTCCCAGTGGGGAACTGGTTGCTCGTGGAAACTCTGCTTTTTTTTTTTTTTGTAAATTTGAGATTATAGGCAATACTTAACATTTTGAGAGTTTGCTGCTGTTCAAATGTTGACCCTCCTGATTTTGTGATGGCGTATTGTTTCGTAACAGAAGCAGTTCCTTAGTCTAATATATTCCAATGCATCTGCGGTTTGCGTATGAAATAGTGCTTAATAATATTAAATATGCTGTAAAGTTTTATTTTATGACCACTGTCTTAAGTCCTGGCTAACATTCAAGTTGATTTATTCTTCTGGTGTTGTTGTTTTCAGGCTGATTTAGAGGAGTGAGCGGGCGGTTCCAGACTCGATGAGTTTCCATCGACATGTCGGAAAAGTCAGGCCAGAGTACAAAAGCAAAGGATGGAAAAACCAAGTATGCAACGCTCAGTCTCTTTAATACTTACAAAGGAAAGTCACTGGAAACTCAGAAAACCACAGGTAAATTAAACTGACTTTGTTTAATGTGTTTTATTTCATCTTCACTGTTGTGCAGCTAATTAAGAGGGCGATATGATCATTAACCACGGCAAGGCTTTTGAGCTGCTTTATACAACAGCTAAATGGAAGAATTGTGGAAAAACAGTTTTGATTCCACTTGCTCATTACCTGTAAACTTCAATTTAGGGAGAAACAGCATCTTCAGTTGAGTACCATGCAAGTAAATAACAGTTTTATGGCTGCGGTTTCCATCTGTTATCAGTGTATGACGCACCATTCCCCAGCTCTGCTTTTTGTTGTATTTCTGAAGACAACAGCACTTATGCCACTTGAGTATATTTTGAGATCTTTAGTGTATACATTGGCTCCTTAAGTTTACTGTAATGTGATGTTCAGAGGTTGAAAATGAAATGCTTGTAATTATAGAACATACTTAGCAGAGAATCTTGTTCATCTGAACTTATTAATTGGTGGTTAAATGTCCAGTGCAGCGTGTTGGTTTCATACTGCTTTCATAATTGTGATCTGGAGTAAACAAACTGTATAGGAATGCTTTTGTATGAGCAGCATCTGCCAATGGGGACTGGCAGAAAAAATGAGATTAATCCTGTGTGGGTATTGCTGGACCCATTAAAGCATGATAAACTTCTGAGGGGAGCAAGAAAATAATAGTTGACGAGAATGCCCTAAAAGTAGTAAGGTGTCAGTGTCATACCTAAAATGTCTTCTCCAACGTTCTGTGAGAGAGCATTGTGTACAAAGCAGAGTGAACATACATGCTTTTTTTCTTCTGGAATAAGTTAACCATATGACTCAATATTCAAAGCACTCACGTTCTCCCAAATCAAGTATTTATAATTCAATTTTTCTCATTGTTTAATTTAAAAAAAAAAAAAGGAAAATTCTAATTCTTCTTCAATTTTTTTTAACAAGCATTTTCACTGATTTCTGCAGTTTTGCAGGAACTCTGTCTGCTAATCAGCATTGCTAACTTGCACTTTCTGTTTTGGCATGCAGTTGCCACACGCCATGGATTACAAAGTCTTGGAAAAGTCGCTATTTCGAGGAGGATGCCTCCCCCAGCTAACCTTCCTAGTCTCAAAGCAGAAAACAAAGGCAATGATCCCAATGTGAACATTGTGCCTAAGGACGGCACAGGATGGGCTTCAAAACAAGAACAGCACGAAGAAGAGAAGTAAGTGACCAATGAAATCAGGGTGGTTTGGCTGCAACATTTCTCTCAAGTTTTCCAAAACTTGCAGAGGATAGGAAATGGGAAGGAACTGGTTAGGCTTAAAAGACCTCAAGAGAGGTACTAGAGAGGAAATAGCACCTCAACAGTTAACATTATTAATTTTTGTAAGGAATAATGTTGCTTTTGGGGGAGTGGTAGGGAAGAACAACAACAAAAAGAAAAAAAAAAAAAGCAAAAATGCCGCTTAAGTTGAAGGCAGTATGTTTATAAATCTGGTATAAGAGAGCACCTGACCTGGCTACCTTTTCTTTAAGTCTTGGTGGCTCCTTATGTGAAATCCTTTAGTATATTCCTGTAAAAATTGGTGTAATCACTTTAAGATCCTTATGAAAGTAAGAGAAATCCTTGAATATGTTGCAGCTAAGTTAAATTTAAAATTGACAATTTGTGAGTGTGCAAAAAAAACCTGTTTGATTTAGTGTGGTTTTCCTGATGTATGTCGGGAAAAGGTTAAAAACTCTTAATTTTGTATACATTAGTTTGAATCTTCTATTTTTCTTATCTGTTCATACTACATGCACATTGTTTTGCTTAGTGTACCATAAATTTCAGAGACTTCTCATGGAAGTTTTCTGTTACAGACTTCACAATATTGTTTCCTGCTGCCCAGATATGTGATACAAACAAAACAGGCGTGGGAATGGTGCTGGCTCACTGCTGTATACTGTGTGTAATTTAATTGCCCGTTCTCAGTACAGTGTCATCAGCTAAGTTTGCTTCATATTTGTGAGGGAGATCTGACAGCAACCTCTAAAGAAAATAGACTTAAGTATTGTTCCAATAATACAATTAGAAAAAGTTTCAAAGCAAAATTTATTGTCATGAAAGCTTAAAATAGGATATGCTTCACACCGCAAAAGTGGAAGTGGCTTTTAAGTGTTTATTCTTTGACATGTGATTTGTTCTGGAGAAGATTTGAAATTGAGGCGCTAATTTAAAGATGCAGGAAGAAGTATCAGCAGTCTTTTTGCTAAATATCGATCCATTTTCTTGGTAGAAATGTAGCTAATTGTGGTTGTGGTTAGTTAAATGCTGCAGATGGTGCCTTAATCACTTGATGGGGGCTTTGCTGCTTGTTGTGGTGATGCTGTGTTGTTAGTGTGTTCTACTCCTGTGCAAGCAAGAGATGACTGAAAGTTTTCTTCCCCTTTGTGCTGTTATTTTATTTCTTCCCATATACTCCCCTACATCTAAATGTCAATTTTGATATCTCTGTGAAAAACTTAGCCTTCAAGGGTTCACTTCTGTGTTTAACTTTTATCTTTAAGTTAGTGAAACTGCCAATCTACAATATTCTGCCCAGTGTTTTGTGTGGTAGTTCCTATACCCCAGAGGTCATTTCCATTGGATCTAGTTAAGTTGGTGTTGAGCTCAATGGCTTCTTTAATAAAAACACGCTTCCATCTGCGCCTTTCCATTGCCTGCTACATATGCTAGAGTTATGTTCCAGTAGTTGATTGTGTTTCTAATTAAATAGCTATCCCTCATCTTCAACGACTTCTTGTAGTTACTACTATAGTTCCCCAATTTTCAGTGTATTTATAAATGTTTCAGTTTATGTATAAAGCATTCTGATACTTACTTCTAGTATAAATCCTTTCATTTCTATTGTATCACTGTTTTGGAGTTCACGGGAATTGCTTCCTGTGTTTACTTAATTCTTTCCCTGCTGCTTTTCCAAATTGTCACTGGATGGCCAGTTAGGCAAGTAACAGTAGTTTCATTTGCCTGTTCAATATAGAAGTCTCTGTCAGTGTGCTTCTGCAAGTACAATGAAATACCTTTTTTTTTTTTAATGATAGAATGATCCAAGTTGTTTTGTCCTTCCTGTTGACATCTGCCATTCTGTCCTTATCTAGCTCATATTCCTGCTAGCAGTGGCACTGTATTGTGCTTTGGGCTGACCTGTGCAGTTCTCAGATTATTTAAAGCATTTGCAGTTGTTTTCTGAAACATTATGCAGTGGAATTTAACTGCTGTTTGAGAGGCTGAGTGTGTAACATTTGTGGAGAGAACTGCAGAATCTCTTGTTTTCAGAGAATGTTTGTGGATGGCAGTTTACTATTATCCTTTACAGAATGCAAAATAATCCTCAAGGTCTGTGGTGCAAACTTAAAACTTTTTTTTTTTCCAGCCTGTTATTTCACTGGTTCTCTTCACTTCACAACAAAGTGGTTCCAGACTATTAGACTTCCCCTATGGGAAAAAAAAAAAAAGATGCTAGGGAGCTGGAGCTCTTGCGGACTCTGATGCTTTGGAGTCTTAAGATATTTCTGAAACCTGCATATATAAATGTCTAGATTAAATATCTTCCTTTAGAATGCAGTCACCTTTTAGATTGGACGGAATGACAGAATTATTTTAAATGTTTCAGACAGTATTTGATCTTCATAGATGTAAATTTTCCCATTCCGATTCCCGGTGCCCATAAATTTTTTCATGGTCTCTCAGGCCTTATCAGTTCCTGGACATAGTAATTTCTGACATACATACTTGTCTTTCCCCCCATTCATGGTGATCTTTTTTTAAGGTGCTGTTTACACCCAACCCAGGAGCAGTACTCCAAATTATTCCCTTCTATGGTTGTGAATTGGTTTCAGATGGTCTGATAAGCTGCTTAGAAAGTTATAATTCTGTTCATGACTGACTGCATTTTCTGCCTCCTTCGTTTCCATTCATTCCTCTCCACTTTGAGTAATCTCCTTCAAAAGAATTAGCTAATTTATTCCAATTTTAACTTTACTGTAACTGCTCCTTTTATGTAAGAAAATGCTTTTTTTGCAGAGAAGTTATTGGCTCTTCATCTGCGTAGTTATCTCATCTCATTCACTTGTTTGCAGCAGTAATCTTGACAATCTTGCATTCATTAGTGCTTTTCCTCTAACTCCAGACAGCCAGAGGTGCCACAGACACAGCCAAAACCTGCTGTTCCTGCTCCTCCAGAAGCAGCTCCTGTTGCCAAATCGTGGGCCAACACCAAGCCAGGTGGACAAGATGGTAAGTGATGTTAAAGGTACAGAGGTTCTTGTCCAGCCTGGCGGGCTGGGAATGCTGCTTTTCACAGCATTCAGACTCAGCAGCCTTTTGAGTCCTGAGCAGAACAGCGGGGGCTACGAATGCTGTGTAAGCATCTTTTGTAGCCTATAAGAGTGGTAGTCCTGTCTGACTGCCTTTTAAAGGACCTGCATAGCCTTTTTTTTTTTTTGGATTGCCACAGAAATAATGATCAGAGCATAAGGTCTTGAAAGTGGTTGTCCTGGAGAGAGAGAAATCTCAGCCACTTACTGTAACACCTACAATTTTTTGCATAAGAACCATAAACAGTTAACAGTCAATTTGGTCATAAATTTGGATCATTTTATGCAGAGTGTGTGTGGTCTTATTTCTATTTTAATGTGTGCTACCACAATACTTTCCTTTTTACTTTATAGATGATTTTGTTTTCAAAGTGGTAGTGTTCAAGTAAGTTTTGGGGTTTTTTGCTCAGGAGAAGCATTAAGGGTGTATTTGGTTGTTTGTTTTACGTAGTTGTTCTCACTCCTTACACACAATTACCACAATTGTGGATCTCAGGTTAAGTGTTTTCATGACAGGTGTGAGATCAAATTGAATCTTTAGCAGAGCTTAAAAATTGTTCGTAGAGTAGAGGTTACTTAAAATTTCCATGTTGCCATTATGGAAAATAACATATGACATGCTTTATTCCATAAATTGAAGACTTGCAAGCTTTCTGTGACTGAAAAAAGAATTTTGGCTTCCTTGCTGGAAAAAATCAGCTCTCTACAGATATCTGAGAATAGTAAAATGGAAATTATATGGAGGTAGCTTTTAAGACTGTATTTGGAATTTGTTAACATCACATATCTAATGACTTTGCCATTTCTTGCTGCAAGTGTTAGAAGTAGCAATTCTATGTCCTACGTTTCTTGCTCTCCTGTGTAGTGCTCAGTGCTTCCTCAGAAACTCTCCTCCATAAAGCTCTTGCAGGAGTGTTGTATAATAAGAGATTAAAAAAAACAAAAAAGGAATTAACACTAGAATGCAGATCATTTTGCATCAAGCTTTCTACATAAGCTGATTAGATCATCTCTGATGTGACACAGGATGATTCAGCTCAATGGCTTCAGAATGCATTTAGCTAATTATTTTGTGGTTACCATGGCAGCTTGTGTGCCAAGCCCAGATGGCATCTTCATTTCATTCAATTAATGCAGTAGTGGGTTTGCTGTTTCCAGAAGAAATACAGAATGTGAACTGGCTTCAGCTGCTTGCTATCATCCTTAGTTTGAAACTTGGGATACACCTGTTGTGTACATACTTCCCTGATCTGCAGTTGGCTGATGGAACTTGTACTTCTTCCAGATGCCTTGTACATGTTCCAGGAGTCATTCAGCCAGCTGCCTCATGCTCCTTGTATAACACATCAGCTGAGTGAGGAGAAACTAAGTTCTTCTCTGATGCTACTGATAACCATGCAGGGAAAAAAAACAATCCCTAAATCTGATGGGGAACATGTATTTCTTTGGCTCGCGTATTGGTAGGGAGTTGGGAGTTAATAGCCACCATATTCTATTTGAAATCTTTAACAACTCTTGTTGGCTGAAGATGTGTCTGTTTCAGGCTGATAGCTTAGGTGCTGTTAGGCTGATAATTGAGGATACAAATGTTTTGCAACTGAAACATTGCGGCAGCATAAGCTTGAGCAGAGAACATGTTTCAAGATTCATAAAACTTTTATCTGCTACAGGATTTCCAAAATGGTTCCCTGGCCTGGCAGGCCATTTGCTTAGTGTGGCTGTAGTTTTCAGTCGCCTTAAACTGCTGGATGTGGCTGCTTAGGAGCATGAGACATCTAATGCCCAGTAACAAAAAACAAGTTAACATGACCTGTAGTAGGTTAAGTTGGAAGATTGAAAGCTTTTAAGCTGATCTGTGGGCACAGATGTAATTATTGTGGTATTTGCTGTCGTGGTGTTACAAAGAAAGTGAAAAGAGAGGAGTTTATCCTGTGCTTAACATTTAACCCTTATAAAAGAAAAAGCAAAACAAGATCCCGGTCTTTCATTCTGTATTCTCAATGCTATGATCCGTGGTTCTTTCATGAATCAGAGATGATAGAAGTTCTTTTAGCTGCTGGCTTAAAAAAAAAAAAAAAATTATATAATTGAGGTTGGGGTTTTTTTGAACTCCTTTTTTTTAAGTTTACCTTATAGACCATGTAGCCATTCAGCAGCTTTACTAATAAATATAAACGTTTTATGAGGTTTGCTCTTGGTTTGCAAATTCTATCGCCATTAAATTAATGACTTTATGCTTCATTTTTTAAGGATGATCAGGCTTATAGGAGCGCTTTCTGAACTGCTTTGATTACAGAAAATTTATGACTGTAAATATCTTATTTTGTAGGTCCAGCTCTTCCAGTAAATAGTTATTTCCAGCAAGAGTTTCCCAGTCTGCCGGCAGCTGGGGATCAAGAAAAGTCAGGCAAAGAGAAAGATGCATCTGAAGAGGGCCATGGACCCAGCTTGAGGCCACAAAGTAAGTATATGATAGAAATTATAGTGAAATTGCATGAAGTTGTGTGGAATGCATATTCGCTCCCCATACAAAATAAACGTATTAATATTAAGGATTCACTTTTGCAATAAACACCTACATACAGTCCTCCTACCTGAAAATCTTGTAACTGTCTTCTCTGTTATATGGTTTTATTGTGTAAGAACTTGTTATAAAGATTTTTGTGTTTGGTTCCTTTTTTGCTTTACTGTATTCCTGGTGTGGAAAACAGGTATTTAATTGTATCCTGCAGCTCACTTCATATTTGCTCAGGCTGGTGCTCCGAGGAGCGTTTGTTGCACAATCCTGGTGTTTTCTTCCACCTGCTAGATGCTGTGACAGCTAGAATGTATATTCAAGAACTATCCTTATAACCAATGAAATACAACCCTTGTCACTTCTATTCCATCCTTTATCAGACATACAAGCCAGTATCTGGATACTTCTTCACTTTGAAATGTAACGCATGGATATGTCATTTTGAGCTGCTTGAGAAGTTTGTTTCTCCTCTTAGAAAGAAGCTTGATCTTTCCATTGGCAGCATCTGTGTGTCAAACCAGCAGCAGCTCACTTATCACAGCTAAATCTGTTTTCTATCTTGTACTATTATCAGCATCCTTCCTAAATAGCGTGGTGTTTTAGAAGGTAGAGAAAGGTAGCTAGAGCTGTCTATAAATTTAACTCTTACCCTTTGGGATGTAGAGCTGAAGAGGATTAGAAAACAACCTCTATTTTCTTAGTAGCAAATGTCCATCTGCACAGATAGCTGTGTCATTGGAAACTGCCTAGAAAGATCAAGTGTGGTCATCTTTTCTTCTACTGGCTCTGCCTATGTAGATGCTGCTAGTTGGAGAGAAAATGGTAACAGCAATTCACCCAATTCTCCAACAGATCAAGAAGCTAAGGCTCTTGGGCAGGAAGATGGCAATTCTACTCAAACAGAACAAAGTGATGGCCAGAAGGCAGCAGAGAAGAGGGATGCACGGTTACCACAGATCCCACAGCCCAAGATGAATGGCCAGCAACAGCCAACCATCTCGTCTCAGTACAGGGCAATGATGCCGCCTTATGTAAGTAGTGGTTACACAAAGTTTTAAGCAGCAGGGATTGGTTATTGGCTACTATGATTCCCTTTTGCCTTCTTTATCTTCCCTCCATGGGATGCTTAGTAGTTTAGCAAGAAGTGTGGGATTGTAGGTAGCTCCTTAAAAGATGTGGCTTCATATTGCCCATCCTGCTGCACTAAGCTTCAGCTTGTCGGGGGTTGCTGAATACAAAGGTGATGGTCACACAGTCATTAGAGTAGACTGTTTTGAGTGAAGAGCCTTGCTTTACTTCCATTATGATTCCACTGTTCTGAGTATGTTTTTTTAAACATATTTATTTTTAACAAATGGCTTCTGTTTTAAACTTTTCTTAGATGTTTAATCAGTATCCTAGAATGGCATATCCTCCTTCCATACAAGGCCCAACAAGGTTTCCAAATTCTGAGCCTAGTAGGTAAGATACAAGTGTTCTTGTTCTGTGATTATGAACTCTGCATCCTCCTGTAAAGGGGAAAAATTAAAAAGAAAAAAAGAACATTGCACTTACTGTCTTGATTACAACTATATGCTGTCACTAGTTAGTCTTATAACTTTGGCTTGTGTGGAGTACTGTTATATAGTAGCTGTACAGTGTTTGACATCTCAGCTGCAAAACTAGGAGAATCTTGCATGTTATAGGGGTTTTTAATGGGAAAAGCAGGAGAAAGGGACACCTTTATTATTTTGAGCAGCACTTTTATCTGTAAAAAGACTGTTGCTCTGATGTCACAATGAAAATTAATTTCTGGTTCACATCTCTACTGCTCTTCAATTAAAGTAGAACTCTAATCCTTTTTAAAAATAATTTTCCTTCTATGTGATGGTGTGGCAGTAATTATTTGAACTGCAGTGGTCTCGTGTGATATATAGCGTTTATACTGACGTGAGGAAACAGTACTGTATACTTGAAACGAGTGTCATGCAATTTGACCTTCTGTTTAGTCATTTTGCTGAAAAAAATAGTGATGGTGGTCATTTTTTTTTCTTTCTCTTCCAGAGGGCCAAGGGGAAGAGGACCGCCTTCGTGGTGTTCAGAGCCTATTGAGCGTCCATCCATTCTTAGTGCTAGTGAACTTAAAGAACTTGATAAATTTGATAATCTAGATGCTGAGGCTGATGAAGGCTGGGCAGGTAAGAACCTCAGATTAATGAGTTCTTTTCTTTGTATGTTTAATTTTTCTGAAGGATTAATTGAATATTTGCTTGTGTGTCAGGTGCTCAGAGTGAAGTGGATTACACTGAGCAGTTGAATTTCAGTGATGACGATGAGCAAGGAAGTAGTCAAAAAGAGAAGGAAAGTGGGTGAGTTGGAGCTGCTAGTTGTGCGTGAATGCTGCACAGCTAGCTTAGCTTTTGGGAAACTTGAATGACGTGTGTGTGTGAAGTACTTACTCCAGAAATACTTATTTCAGTAATTAAGTACTGTATTAAACTGTTTAACTGTCTGCAGCCTGTGGGGTGTGAAGTGGAAGTGGTTTTTCTTGTGAGAATCTTTCACTCTTGCTTAGAGATTTTGAGGATAGAAGATAAATCACCAAAGAGCTGTATGGAATACTCCTGCTTTTCTCATCCCTTTGCACAGTGACGAACAAACGCCATCAAAAGATTCTCAGAGCTCTGATGCCCAGAAAGAAGCAGAAGAACAGGCAAATGCTAAGTCTGCCACCCAGGCTTCTGCAGCAGCAACCAAAGGATCTTATGGCAAAAGTTCTCAGCTTGATCAGGTTTGTGTTTTTGTCTCTTTAGCTCTTCTGGCAAGAGTCTTGTCAGGGGAGATCCCATTCTGCTTCTTCTGAAACCGTCAGGTGGATTAAGATTATGAACATGAGTAAAAGCATTATCTACTGCTTATCTGAGCTGTAACAACTAATGGGGTGTTGCTTAGCTTCTGTTCCCAAATAAAAATAGCATGTCTTTGTCTAGTGAGTTCTAACCCACAGTTGTGAGAGATGAGAACTCTTATGTCAGTTACTGTTGCTCAAGTGACAGGTTTTAACTTAATTATTTTGTCTGTCCATTACTGTAACAGTGAATAAAACCATTCTGGTGTCCGTCACATTTTGTAGAGGCACAGAGCAATAGTGCCATGTTGACTCACATGCTCTCATTTTTTTGTAAATCATGACCTGGTTTTCTTCAGTACAGCTTTGCAGTAGTGTGTCAGCTTGTTTCTTCTCAGGTAGATAGATTTCTCTTTAGACATTGTAGAACGCATCACTTCAGCCATTTTGGTTTTTGGATTATCATGCAGTAGAATGGCAACCATCTCAGCTTATGCCTGCTTCAGCTTGCTGGGGTTTTTGAAAAGCTACTATTGGCATTGAGTGAAAATTTCCTGACACCAGTAACAATGAAGATGGGGGATCCTGAATTTGTTTTTCTTGCTCTTTTTCTCTGTAGAAAGATTGTGTCATTTTCCAAGGTTTGATGCTACACTGAATCTGAAGAAAAACATTGCAGTAAACTAAACTGCAAAATTTGGATGCTTTTTAAGTAGTTGTTCAGCTGCAATGAAGATGTTCTTGCCCTCTTTGCATACTAATCTGTATCCTATGTAAGGTAGTTCACTAGATACAGTATTTTAATGTAGTAGGAAAAAGTACACCTAAAAATTACTGGCCTTGCTCTTGTTACAAGCTTACAAGCTATTTTCTCTGGCACTGTTTGATCCAATAGGATCGGGGTCCAGCACAGCCCTCTGTACATGAAAGAGGTGGTCCTCCTCTTCATCCCAAATCTATCCTGCCACCGGTAAGAAAGATCAGAATTGTCCTTATTTTCTTGAGTTATATTCCTTAATGCTGCGATGGAGGAAATTAAACTTGGAAAAGTAACAATGCTTCACATAGGGTTAGCCTTTTTCTGTGACAATGTGATTGTAGTAACTGAGGTAAGAGTGAGACCTCAACGTAGCCATGCTGCTAATTGTTTGTGTAAATTGTGTAAGTCTTGAAAGTGGCTTGTGAAATGCATGTGAACTTCAAGAGTTTTTGATAATCTAGCCTTACCTGGGACTAGAGAGGAGAGGGGCATGAAGAGGGTGTTTAAGGGCTGCGTGTGGCTTAATATTGGCTGCGTGCCCAGGCAGACAGGGAAATGATGTTCCAAGTGAAATGTGTAGGTAGTAGGTGCTTAACAATTTTCAGTAGTGCTCATTAAAATCTTGATTATCCTAAGATAACCTTGAATTTCTTTGTCTACTTGGACTTTCTGTCTGAGATCTGCCAGAGCAAACTGTAACCAAATTAAAAGGTGTTTGTCATCTTTGCAGCCACTTTGCATTAGCAGCAGTAAGAAGTGACACAAGCTCAACTGAATCTTTACTTCTACTTTGACTTAAGGTTGTATGGAAGGTGTCTTTCAAACCTTACTTTGTAAAAATGCCATCCAAACGCATCAGTAGGCAGACAGTTAAAATGTTGTATTTCAGCTAGTTTGTTTTATGTAATCATGCCATAGCTGACTCACTGATTTTAATACTACAGCATCCTCCTCCTCCTGATCGCCAACTAGGACCTGGAAGGCAGGGACCCTTTCCTCCTAAACCTGTACCAGATGAAGATGAAATCTGGAAACAGAGGAGAAGACAGCAGTCAGAGATATCTGCTGCAGTTGAGCGAGCCCGTAAGCGCCGCGAAGAGGAAGAAAGAAGAATGGAAGAACAAAGAAAAGCAGCTTGTGCAGAAAAGCTGAAACGGTTAAATGAGAAATTTGGCTGTATGACAAAACCCTCCCGTGAAGACCCTCTGAAAGAGAGAGAGAGGGAGAGGGAAAGGGAAAGGGAGAGAGAAAGGGAAAGAGAGAGGGAGAGGGAACGGGAGAGAGAGCGGGAAAGAGAAAAGGAGAGGGAGAGGGAAAGGGAAAAAGAAAAAGAGAGGGAGCGGGAAAGGGAAAAAGAAGAAAAAGAAAAACTGGAGAAAGCAAAAGAACAAGAAAGGGAAAAAGAGAAAGAAAATGAGAGAGAGAAGGAAGAAAAAGAGAAGGAGAAGGAGAAAGAAGAGGAGAAACCAGTACACGAAGCCCCTGAGCCTGTAGAACCTGTGGTAACGCCTGTGGTAGAAAAACAAGAAAGTGAAAGCAGGAATAACAAGGAAGAAAAAGGTATGCTTACATGCAGGTAGGAGTTGTCTCTCTTGCAGCTGAGCCACAGAGCGTAGTAGTAATCTAGCAGTCTACTTGCCATACCTGATTAACTGTGCATCTAGATCATATGTTTTCCTGGCACACCACAACTGCTGACTCTGTCATTTGAGCTAGACCTGTCTGGCCAACTCATCAAAGTGTTAAAGGAAAAATTGAGTTCTGTGATTTAAGCAGAACATGAAAGAATACAGAAAAGTAAAAGACTTTTTTTTTCTTGCTAAAAGAGAGAGTCAGTGATTCGTATTGCCAAAAGCAATGTAAATTATTTCAGCTATTCTGTTTTTTAAGCAAGCCTAGAGAAGTAGACACAGCACATGTTTATACTCAATGCATTTTTTTGTAGTGGAGCTTGAGTGCCTCTGTTAGACTATTCTTTATATGTTGTTTTCATCCCTTAAGTGGGTAAAAATGATTGTAAAACTGAACTTTGGTTCATAAAGAAAGTTATTAAAATTTAAAACAGTAGTGCTTCTTAAATCACACAATAGTTGCAACATGAACTGAGCAATCATTTATGATTATTTGAGTTTAAAGGGAACTCTGAGAAATAATGTTTTGAAATGGTTCTTTTAGTCTGTGTGTGTTTTGGAAACAAGAACTGTGAGGTTAGAGAAAGCAGGTTTGCTTTCATTTTAGAAAGATATCCCTTGTTTGACTCTCTGGTTAATGTGAAATACATTCTTTTCTCCTGTATTTGTTTTTTCAGAAGATCAAGCAGTCTTTACCCGACAAGACAGTGGTCGGAATGAAAAAGAAATTTCACAGGTGACTCATGAGAGCGAACCAGAATCAGGATCTCAACCTCGTCCTGCTGTTTCCTCAGGCTATTCTAAACAGTTCCAGAAATCATTACCACCAAGATTTCAGAGGCAGCAGGTAACCAACTTGTTTGCTAAAAGGAAGAATAACACAATGTCTTCTGCTTCATTCTGAGTAAGAATGTCACTATTTAGGGGCGGGGGAAGCCTAAGTTGTTGGTTTCCAGCTTCTGTAATGTCTACTGTATTGGCTGAATTGGTTTTATAGGGAGCACTTCCTATCACTTGCAAAGTACACAAGTGAGCAGAAGACGAGAGAGGCTTCTAAAACTGGCTGCTTTTGGCATCAGTTACCAGAAATAGAGCATTACCCTGTGGATACTCGTGCAATCAGGGAGATCTGACTATCGTTCTTCAGCTTTACATTAAAGGCCGTGGCACTCGCAAATATATTCTGCATTCAGTTTCTGTGGTCTGAAGAGCACTGGTCATTCACAGCATGAACAGAGTATAGATTGTTCTGTATCTCAGCTGAACACTAGCAAAAATGTAGCTATTTTAAATTGTACAGTCTTTTCCCATCACCTCCCCCTTTTCTCCTCGTTCATTCTGATTTGTTTGTGATGAATTTTCAAAATGTTTAGTATCCTAGAGGTGACTGCAATCCTTGTTTCCAAGGGTTATTTTAATTCTGCTCAAGTCTTCATCTTAACGTAAAGTCCTATCATGCTATTTTCTATTATTCAGGAGCAAATGAAACAGCAGCAGTGGCAGCAACAGCAGCAAGGTGTAATTCCACAGTCTGCTCCCTCACAGCCTTCTAGTGGTCCTGTCCCTCCTCCCCAGCATAGACCTCTTTACCAACCAATGCAACCACATCCACAACATTTGGCTTCAATGGGTTTTGATCCACGGTGGCTTATGATGCAGTCTTACATGGACCCACGAATGATGTCAGGAAGGCCTGCAATGGATATGCCTCCTATTCATCCAGGTAAAATCTGGCAACTCTTCTGACTGTTGAACTTTCGGGTTTGAAATAGATGTCTTTTCTTAACCACATTATATACAGTAAATGAGCTTTTTTTTTCTTTAAAGATAAGTATCATTTGAGACTAAGTAGGTTGCAATGATTCTGCTAGATAGAGACAGTCATGCATCAATATATATCTTGACTACATAGTAAAATCAGAGCTTTCTCCTGTATCATGGGCAAGTTACTGAAAGCAGGGCTGTATTCAAAATATCAATATAAGGCTTACTTGCTTACAGTTATTATAGTTGGTATGAGTTAGATTGTTATACTATAAAAACAGTATATTTATGGTCCATCTTCCATTATTTATTAGCTCTTGGTATTACTTCAATTATTTTAAAAAATGCAATGTTGTTTTTATCTGACATACTAGCACTTCTGGAGTCTTGTTCAATTCTTGTTTTCAAATTCTTGACACTAAAAAGTCCTTTTAAACTTTTGAAATAGTTGTTTGATTTGAGAGTAGAAAAGCTGATGTGCATAAATAACATCAGACTGGCAGATAACGTAGTGGGGAGACCACTGAGTCAGAAGGAACAGGGCACAAGGAAATGCATCTCTTGAAAGGAATGTAGAGATTGAATTGAGGAAATGGTAACCTAAGCAAAACTGATGATAACCATGGTACTGCTTTTACAATGTTTACAAAATAGGGCCTAAAGTCTTAATAACAGTGCCAAGAACGACCTTGTATGTACATTCATCTTGCTTTCTGCCATTCATATCTTAGAGCAGAATCTTCATTCTCACGCTTACAGGTTTACAGGCCTTGTTCTTTCTCTTACGGTGGAAACAGCTTTTGCTTTTGTTGGTACAGAGGGCACTGGTGTGGATATGACTTAATCATTCTGGGGTCAGTTGACAGTAAAGAGGCATTTGGTTCCAATAAGAGAAGGTACAGAGGAAAAGTAGGAGGACAGAGAATAGGGCTTTTCTGGACCTGCTGATGTACTTCATGCGTCATGAGCTAAGTCTCTTTGCTAATTGAGCTGTTGAACTTAAACTTGTAACAGGAATTATGCCTCCCAAACCACTGATGAGAAGAGACCAGCTGGAAGGATCAGCAACTAGTTCAGATTCATTTGAACATATAGCTCGCTCAGCAAGAGAGCATGCTGTTCCTTTGTCAGAGCCCCGCATAATGTGGGGGTCAGATCCGTACCCCCATGCGGAACCTCAGCAAGCTAGTTCTCCTCCCAAAGTGTTAGAAGAACCTGACAATTTGAGGTAAGCCTGAGTTACGTACCCTTTCATGTCTGTCACTACGAGCCAAACCTGCTTACGCATTTAGCTGTGTAATTTGTATTGTAAAACATGGTTTAAACTGTAAATTCAGACCAAGTTAATGGCTGCTTTCCACACAAAACTTTAAAAGGAGTTGTGGCTAGAGGGAATGCACTTGTCACTGTTGTATAAACAAGACATGCCTGCTGCATAGTAGGGCATAGAAGAACAATTTGCCCATTGTTTAGGATCCTTAACCTGATTTGATGAGTGGTGATTGCGATAATGCTATGAATTTTCAGTTTTGTAGAATGCTGCTGCAGTGTTGTATACTGTCCTTCATCTGCTCTCTGTCTTCCCCATATTGGTGAGCTTCTGCCTGGTGTACATCAGTTTCTAAAGTGATGTGTATAAACAAGTGATATAAACTAAGATAGTTGCTTTGGGCAACTTTAAAGTACCCCCCTTGTTGTTTTTCTCCTGTAGCATTTCCTGTGTAATACTTGCTGACAGCCTGCTAACCTGAAGGTTCTGCTTAAAATGTATATATAGCCATTAATGTTTATGGATTCCTAAAACAGACTGTACATTCGACACTGAATTTTTAACCAAAGTGGCATGAAATAGATATCTATAAAACTGGCAGCCACTGTGAAAATTCAGGATACATTGTTTCCTGAATCTGACAGAAATCCTTCATACAAACAGAAAGTCATTCAAGGAAATATTTATGAATGAGAACTTCATCCCCCCCCCCATAATGTTCTTAATTATTGTTTCTTAGATCTGAGGCACACTTGGAGCAAGAACGAGTTGCTGTTCCCGCTGCAGCTTATCCTGTAGAACACAACCAGCTAGACTCTCATCCAAAGCCAGACTTTTTCAGAGAACCAGGAGAGGTTGAAGTACAAAAGTTCCCAAGCAGGCCTTTGGAAGATGCCCAACCTCTCCAAACTGACGCATCTAACACTAAAGTTAATTTTGAAGGAATTGATGAGAATGTTTCACGCAGCTCTGCAGAAGAACTCATGCCTGTTGGGGAAAGTCACTCTTCATTAAAGAGAAGCATTTCCCATGGCTCAAGTCATTCTCTAAAATCAGAAGAACAGAGGAACGAGACAACAGCAAATATCCCTAAAATAAGTAGCAGGCCTGTTGAGTCAAAGGAGACAATTGAGAGAATTGAGATTAAGCCAAAAAAAGAAGTTTTGATCAATAACAGAACATCCGAAGGACCTAAACTTGAGAAAACATTTAAACCTAAGTCTGAAACAAGATGGGGTCCTAGGCCTGGTTATGGCAGGAGAGAGGAAGGCAGTGACAGACCAATAAGAAGATCAGGTCCTATTAAAAAACCTGTGCTTAGAGACATGAAAGAGGAGCGTGAACAGAGAGAAGAGCGTGAACAGAGGAAGGAGAAGGAAGGAGAAAAGATAGCTAGTGAAAAACCAAGCAAGTCTGAAAAAAGTGACAAAAAAGAAGCACCTCAAGTGCCAGTGCCTCAGACTGAGCCGGAGACATCCACCTCTAGCAGTGCTCCTCTAGCTAAGAAGATAGTCCACGATGCTGCTCCAGCACCAGCAAGCCCGGAGAGCACTCAGACTGAGACTACAGCTAAAGTTCCAGTTCAGCCACCCACTCCTCCAGTCTCGCAGCAGCTACCAGCTGCACAGCCTGCTGTTCCACAGCTTCCCCCTGCGATACTGCAGCAACCACCAACTCAGCCCGTAGCACAGCAGCTGCCACAAGCACAGCAGCCAGTTACCACAGTGAAGGAAGAAAAGCAGACGGAGAAGGTAGTTAACAAGGAGGTTATAGAGAAGCCGCGCTTAGAAACCAGACCAGTAAAAAGAGAGCCTGGTTTACCACCTAGGACATACTGGAAAGAGGCTAGGGACAGAGACTGGTTCCCCGATCAGGGATACAGAGGCAGAGGTCGTGGGGAGTATTATTCTAGAGGTCGTAGCTACAGGGGTTCTTACGGAGGACGTGGTCGGGGAAGTAGGGGCCATAATAGGGAGTATCCACACTACAGAGATACCAAGCCTAGAACAGAGCATGTGCCTTCTGGGCCTGTTAGACAAAGGGAAGAGAGTGAAACTCGTAGTGAGAGTTCAGACTTTGAAGTGATTCCAAAACGACGGAGACAGCATGGTTCAGAGACTGATTCTGACAGCGAAATCCATGAAAGTGCAAGTGACACTCTGCTTTCAGACAAAGACAGTCTAATCAAAGGCAAACACCCAAAAAGAGAAGAGAGAGCTGATGGCAAAAAACCTACAAAGCCACTGTCATTCAAACCTGAAAACAATATCAGAGTGGACAATAGATCTCTGGAAAAAACATATATAAGAGATGATGAGAATAAACCTAAACCAGGGTTTCTTCCTAAAGGAGAGCCTTCTAGACGAGGCAGAGGGGGAATGTACAGACGTGGTGGAAGGGATCCTGGTGGGCGTCCTCCACGACCATCCACAATAAGGAGACCAGCTTACAGAGACAATCAGTGGAACCCCAGGCAAGCAGAGATCATTAAACCAGAAGATGGGGAGCCTCCAAGGAGAAATGAGCATTATGGTCCTATACCAGTTGATAAAAGACCTCCAAAATTTGAGAGGAAGTTTGATCCAACTAGAGAGAGACCACGAAGACAAAGGCCTGCTCGGCCTCCAAGGCAAGATAAACCACCACGCTTCAGGCGCCTAAAAGAGAGAGAGGCTGCATCAAAGATAAATGAAGCAGTAACTGGCTCATCAACTACTGTTGCAGTCACTAATGTGGTTACAGAGCCCTCCAATACTGCTCTGGATGTTTCAGGAAGTAAGACACCAGACTTGTCTAATCAGAATTCTTCAGACCAGGCAAATGAGGAGTGGGAAACGGCCTCAGAAAGCAGTGATTTTAATGAGAGGCGTGAGAGGGATGAGAAGAAAACAGCAGATATAGCAGCACAGGTGGCTGCAAAAGCAGGAGAAAACACTGGAGTTCCAAAAAGGGAAATAGCCAAGAGAAGTTTCTCTAGTCAGCGGCCTGGAATAGACCGTCAAAACAGACGTGGTAACAGTGGGCCAGCTAAACCAGGGAGGACCTTCTCAGGGCCTAGGAGTGAGAGACGGAGTGGTCCTCCACCCAGAAGTGGAAAAAGAGGGTGAGTACCAGCTTTGGTTAGGAGGCAGGCATAGCTGTGGTCATGCATTGTCCTGTTGTGGTTCAAAGTCATTAATAATTGTTTTAGATTTGTAGTGACTGGTAGACAAGTGCAAGATAACCACACGCACCAATATCTGCGCTTTCTGTTTTTTTGTTTGTGTGTATATTCCAGAAAATTGACTGAATTGTACAGTGTTATTTAGCCTAATTAAAAGAAAAAAAGATGCATTTTCTCAGTCAGGGTATATTTTCCAAGATCTGGGTGCAAGCTGAAGGATTAATGTGAATGCTTTTGCAGTTTAATACATAGATAGCTGCATTTCATTTGGCCTATTGTATTTTTAGGTCAATTGTCTAACAGAAAAGCATGCTGAGACATGCTTGCCACTGAGAATAAATTTTGTTTCTCTATATCTTAAATTTGATTAGAACTTGAAAATTATCTAGTGTTACTGTTTTCCCACTGTTTTGTAGCCACAGTGCACAGTAGTCTAATATGTGGGAAGCAGAGCAAGTCATTATTTCTTCATTGATTTCCCACCTTTCTTGTTCTTGTAGATTGCTGTATATTAACTTCACATTTTGCTTGGACTTAAAGACTTAAATTCAGTGTTCTAATCTCTGAATTAAAAATACTAAGGCTTTCTTTGATAAGTCAGTTAAATATGATTTTGAAACGAAGGCTGGGTTTTCCAGGTTCCACAGCAAAGCCAGAATGTTTCAAGTCTCTGACTCTGATGGCTGCAGAGAGCTTCTGGCAAGGGAGCCTGTGAAACATTTCATACTGTAAGCTTCCATTTTTGTGTGTGCTTGTTTGTTTCTCTGCAGAACGCTTTACTAGAGTTTTGAACTGCGAACCTGTTGAGTTGTGGTGTGTCTAACTACATAGAGTGAGGCAGAGTTCATCTTAAAATCATGCACTTTTTTTTCCTATGAATACTTCTGACAGCAGTGCATTGGGTGTGTTACCAAAACAGCTTTTTCTGCTCACTGAGGAGCTGAAAGTAAATGTCTGGAGCCTACCAAGAAGTTGCACGTTAAACACTCTCGACCCTATAATGTGATTTGCATTTTGTTAATTCCTTCCTTCCTATGCTCTGTGGATGTTAATTTCCTTAATATAGTTTTTTTTCTAATACAGGCCATTTGAAGACCAGACAGCAAGCGTGCCTGGTGTTGATCCCAGCAACAACAACTCTTTGCATCAGGAAGAAGGAGGTGTTAATGCAGCAGGACAGAAGAGTACCAAGGATGCAAGTGGCAAAAAGAGAGAAGAACCTAAAGCTGGTCCAAAAAAGCCTAAGGAAAAAGTGGATGCTTTGTCTCAATTTGATCTTAATAATTATGCAAGTATGTACTGATAAGATGCCATGTGAACAAGATTGTAACCCTTCAGCTTTGCTGGATAGATTTTAAATTGCTGGGTAGATGATAGATTGCTAGATGTTTGAAAACATACAAAAGATGATGATTTTTTAAAATGCATGAATAATTGTATATTTCGGTATTGCTACTTTTGTCATGCTTAATTAACTTTTTCACTTAATAAATATTCAGTTCTAGTTCACCTGCAATGCACTTAGCAAGCAAAACCTTAGCTTTTATCAAGGCCATCGGCTGTGTCTGCTTATTGGGAAATTGCTTCTTCCTATAGCAGTTCGTTCTTAATGTATTTTATTGTGCACTGCATCTGAAGCTGTTAGAACAGCAACACTTGTGTGTTTACTATTTCAATAGGTGTTGTGATCATTGACGATCACCCTGAAGTGACAGTAGTTGAAGACTCTCAGTCTAACTTGAATGATGATGGCTTCACTGAAGTGGTGTCAAAGAAACAACAGAAGCGCTTGCAAGATGAAGAGCGCAGAAAGAAGGAGGAACAAACAGTGCAGGTACAAGACACGGTATTTGCATCAGGCATTTGTGGTGGGAAATAGCTCCTTGCAATACTGGAAATGTTATGAGGTGTGCAGTATTTCATTTCAAGAAGCTATATTTTCACCTCTTAAATGTAACTAGATAGTGTATAGAGTTCCGAATTAGTAGATTAAACTAATTTTCACTTGAACATCTTAGGATTCAGTACTTACTGTTCAGGCTACCAGCTGCAAAAGTAAAAATTTACTTTCACTTGCAGGTTTGGACCAAAAAAGGTTCAAGTGAAAAAGGTCGAGGTCAAAATTCCAAACTCCCACCCAGGTTTGCCAAAAAGCAGCAACAGGCAGCAGCTGCAGCTGCACAGCAGGCACAAGCTCAGGCACAGACTCCATGTGCAGCACAGACTCCAGGTCAGCCACCAGCTTCTGTTCAGCCTCAAAATCAGGCTGCAGGAGGGGCAGCAGCCAGCACAGAATTCACGGTGTCAGGCAAAGTCTTGCAGAATACACAGGCTCACAATGGTCTAGGAACTGAACTATGGGAAAACAAGGTTCCTCCTACAGCAGTTCTGAATGACATCTCCAAAAAATGTAAGTACTGTTTTCTGGATTATTTTTGTGCGGTGAGAGGGGCAACTATTGTAGTTAGAGAACGCTGACTCTCAGCTCTTACATTTACACATGCAAATGTATTTTGCAAAAGGAATAGAGGGCAGCAGTGTAATGTTGTAACCTATGAATACTTCCTCAAAAGACTTTTGCAGTGTGACATTACTCAGTATTTTATGTTGTTATCATACTCTGTTTACAAAAAATAAGGATATTACTCTCTTCAGAAAGCTGTTTTTTTGGGCTTGGTCAACCTTCCAAATGTGATGATCAACCCTCTTAAAAACAGCTAAGTAGGAATCATATTGCTAAGTCCTGGGCAGGCTAATAACTTCTGAACCAGAACTTCGTTAATCAACACATCTGTGGTCTAATTTTTCTCAATCACTTGGTAACTTTAGTCAAATGCATTTAGCAACTTAGGTTTTTTTGGTGGTGTTTTGCTTTTAACTCTTTCCTTACTTGTCAGTGGGACCTATTAGTCCACCTCAGCCGCCTTCAGTGAGTGCTTGGAACAAACCTTTGACATCTTTTGGATCAGCTACATCTCCAGAGGTAAGGATGAAGGGAAGAGAAGCTTACTCAAATTATATATTGTGAAGATTGGGTGCAGATTATTCAGGTGTGGCCATACTTAAAACTGGTGTGTGCATAATTTCATGAGGTAGGGAGGTAGTACAGAAAGAAGCAGGCTAATGCTTTTATTTTCTGCAGAACAGAAGAACTGTTCTTTGTGAATCAAATCTCAGATTTCACAGATTTCAGTGATAGCTGCTGTTCAGTGTATATTTTTAAGTTAAAATATTGTCTAGTTTGTGAATGCTTGTGTCCAACTTAGTAATGCAAACAGAAACAGGATGCCTTCTCTTATGACACCATTTTGGATGGCATAAGGAGTTCTATGAATCTTTTTTAGTCTTTGTTTTTCTTAAATGCTAATTTTGAAGTTTCAGGAGAATAATATGAACTTGAATCTAGACTTTTTTATGTTGTATTTCTCTTTCCTTTTCAGCACCACATCTTTTTCACAATCTCGTTTATGTATTTCTTCACTACTTTTACTTCCCTCCCCCCTGAGCTCTTATAAACAGTAGGAACCTGAGGAGAAAACAGTATGCTTTCGTATGTTGTTTACTACTTGCAAACTTATTGCAATCAGGAATAATGCTTTTGCTAGCAGAAGGCAGAAGTATGCTTGTAGCATTCAACTTCCAGTATACTTTATGCTCTTCTATTAACTAATGGCAGTGTACTGGTGGAAGTCTTTTGAAATGTGTTAAATGCTTGCTTTTTAAATAGGGAGCAAAGCCTGGGCAAGAAGGTGGAGTGGAACTTGGTATAGAAACTATTCAGTTTGGAGCCCCTGCTTCCAGTGGTAGTGATAATGAAGTTGGCCCTGTACTTTCTGAGAAGTCGACTGACAAGCTACCAGAACCAAAAGAGCAAAGACAGAAACAGCCTCGGGCTGGACCCATCAAAGCACAAAAGGTAAAACATGATACTTTTAAAACTTAAAAAGAAAAATCAGTCAAAAAGGTGTTGCAAATAATTGATTGAAAAATAGAATGCTAATTTAAATAGGACTAGACCTATAAAAATTGCATTCCACATTTGTATTTCCTGAAATAATAAGATAAGATAAAAAATAAGATGGGGAATTTGCTTAAAGTGTAAGTACACAGCATCCTAATGCAACAGAGTTGGTCCACTGATTATTTGGAGCAACAGATGTAGCTGCAACAGAGATGGGAATCTGTTAGCTTTGCTGGAGGAGTATGGATTTTGTAGGGTGTTTTTGCTTTTAATTTTTGTATACACCTGTGCTTATTTTGCTCAGGTTGTCTTGAAGGTGGGCTATTTCTGTCTTATATCTCCAATTACAATTCTTTCTGCCACCATGTCTGGCTTTCTCACATGGTACCTTGCTTAGTTTTGTACCTAGGATGACCAAGTAATACATCAAGTTGCAGGGAAAGAAGTGTTTGGAGGAAAGGGAAGAATGTTAGAGCCCACTGATACGAAGTCTCAAAAGCACGGACATGTAGATAATTAACTTTTTTTTGTAATTAATCTGGGAAGAGTGAATAGGTAATCAAACTTAATTAAAATACGTTTCTCATTCTTCTCAGGAGATTTAGGGGTTCTAGTTAACCATAATCAATTTGTATTTCCATTGTTACCATTCACAAGGAGTAACATTTCTTCCTCCTGTCATTCACATTACACTTAGTGATTTTTCAGGTTTATGGAACTTACTTTCCTGTTGTTTTTTCCTCCGGTGTGTGCTTATCTCTGCATTGCTAGCACTCAGCACCAGCTCCTTTTTTGAAGGAAGAGGTAGCTCTGACAGATATGCTTTGCTCATAAGTTACTAAACCAGTTAATTCATTCTCTTGTCTGAGATTTGGCAGTGGTCCTGATGTACTTAAGGCCCTTTTCGCCTTTCTAGAACACAGGTGCTTTCTTTTTTTTTTTCCAAAAACCCTTGAAATCTAAAATTGCAGTTATATGTAGAGTGAATTTTTTGAGGCACTTAGTGGCTCTCTGCAGCTGATGGTTTTCATTGCAAAATATAAAACCCTTACAACAGAGAAATGTACAGTAGCTAATCATGCTGGTGAATTGTAGAATTGTTCAGTAACCAGTGTCATGCCTAGAAGTGCCCCCATGAAGTCACCTAGACATTAAACTCCTCCTAAAATTGTCCATTTTACATGTAGAGAGACTTTTTTTCCTGCTTGGTTATAACTTAGGACTCCTGAAGGTTTTGTTGAAACGTGTGCAACTAAATGGTAAACTCATTGGAGATGACCATTTTAATGAGCTTTTCTGAATGAGGTTTGCAGTCCTTCACCCTCCTGATGGAGAGAAGGAATGGAAAAAGAATCCTACACACCCCTCTTCACGATGGTGTGCACTATGAAGCCTAGGTATTAGCTTGTTCAGTGTCTACAGGCAACATGAGAGAACTGTATTTGAAACAAAACTGTTTAAATTTTCGGAATGTGACCTTAAATTGTCGGGAGGAATTTCTTCTTCTGTTGATTGTTAGAAGAAAAGACATTTAGGGTGAGGTGGGTTTGATTATCCTGATTGGTGCATTGCAGAGCTTAGGCACTCGCTTCCAAGGTGCTTTTCTCTTTCCCTCTAAAGACATTTTCCAGTCTGTACTGGCCTCCTGAGAGTACTAAATACACTGGAAAAACTTCAGCCTTCCCCAAAGGCATTCTATTACAAGAGGTCTTCATCTATTTGTGAAACAGATGGTTCGTGTTTGTAGAGACATGCCATCAGCTTCTGGTTTTCCACTATCAAATCTCGAGCAATAGGATTTCAGAAACTGCCTTTAAAGAATTTTTGTGCTGCTCTTTAGTAAGGTGGGCTGAGCCAGGAAGGATATGCCTCTTTAAACAGAACATTCATGTTCCCTGGGGCCCTTCATTCTTTAATTCAGCTGTACGAAAAGGAACTGCTGAATTACAGCAGCTACTTCAGCCATCGTCTCTAAAATGTAAAGCAGTGCATGAATGTGGGTGGTTTTTGGTTTTTTTTCTGGGTATTCTTTTAGTGTTCAGTCACTAGGAAAAAACACTGCCAACACTGAGACATCAACAAATGAAGGGAGTCCATTTCTAGTTTTCTAATCTCCTGGAACCCTGTAAAATCAGAATTCTCTGAAAATAGAAACAAGCTGTGTGTACATGAAGTCTTGTGGCTTCCTTACTTTTCTGTACTTATAAGAAAAGTCTGCTGTAGGTTTTAATTAGGTCTTGTTTTAGTTGTACTTTATATGTCTCACTTGGCAACAGTGTTTAAATTCTTAATGTCCAGAGTGGATGCATTTTGAATACTTGCCAATACTTACTTTAATCTCAATTGATTTATTCATTAGAAAATGCTTAGCTTTGAGGAAAGCTTTGTTAGATTTAAACAAACTTGTTTTAAGCATGTTAAATATTGTTTTATGGGCAAGCTGTGGGGGGAAGACATAACTGACAAGTTAACACTAACTTAGCTTCCAGACTTGAGTCCAGTAGAAAACAAAGAGTATAAACCCGGTCCTATTGGGAAAGAGCGTTCTTTAAAGAACAGGAAAGTGAAGGATGCCCAACAGGGAGAGCCTGAGGGACAGGAGAAGTCATCTCCCACCTCTGTGAGAAGTCCAGAACCTGTCACTGCAAAGGAAACCAAAGCGACAAGTGAACTGAGTACGGAAATAGGAACAATGATATCTGTGTCTGCTCCAGAGTTTGGAACTAGCACAAAGGTAAGAAAAATATTGAAATATTATAGAGCACTATATGTAAAATAATACTACGGTGACGTAGTTAACATTTTGTTGCCTGCTGGTTGTAGTGATCTGGACAGCAGAGCTTACTGATTAGCAGATTTTAAACAAATAGTTACTGCTTGAACTTAAACAGTTCTCTGGAAGTGGTATGGAGATTTGCTGTCACAATCCTTGCAGAGATCAGCTTGGAAAGTTGTAAAGTCTTCCGCTGCCTTACGAGCATGAGAACTATCCAGAGCCTTTACTTTCTGTGGAGAGCGGCACTAGAGCCTGATACAGACAGATTGTGTGAACTTGTGTCTTGAGTGTGTTTCTGGTATACACAAGATGAGAGCTTGACTTTCAGCAGAGAGCTACAGAAAAGGAGTGTGCCCAGAGGTCGTTTGAGAGCATGGGCTCTCATGGGATGTTGTGAAGCTGTGAGTTAAGTGTTCAGAGGAGGTGAGGGGGGAGTGGAGTTGAAATCTCTAAGCTAGGAAAATGCTAAAGCATTGCGTAAGGCTCGGTCAGTTTACCTGAAGGTTTTCTGTGTCAGGCTTGGGATATAGTCAAGGTACATTCACTTAAGGAATTTAGGACTCATTGCATTTGCTGAGAGTGAGACGGTGACTTACTATCAGCCTTCACTGTTCTGTAGCTCAGTTCTTGGCTGTTATGTGCTAAAGCACTGAATAATTGAAAAACATCCATGGACAGACTCTCCTGTTTGCATAATGTGCCTGTGTGGGGCTGTCTTCTCTTCTGTCAGTTACATGTCTAAAGCAAGAACTGTGAGTGTTCTTAAATGGAGAGCAGCTACACAGGATTGAGTTGGTGCTAGTTCAATAGTTACACGTGCTTTGGTAATTGGAAAGTTTGCAAAGCTGTGAGTTTAGACTCAAGTGTGTTGTGTGCTGTCTCAATCTGTATTCCTAATCTTAAGCAGAAACATTCTGATACCTTTGGAAAGCCATTCCTCTGCAGAGGTTTCACTAATAGTCGAAGAATCTGAAATGCAGATCAGTTTCTTTGTTTAAGCCTGCTGTTGGGGTGGTGGGGAGCAGTCCTAGCAGGTATTTGTCAAGCTATCATACAAGCAGAAGATGCTGTTGTGATGAAATCTTGTTGCAGAGCAAATGTTAAGGGAGAAATGGTTCCCAGCTATTAGCTGCAAATTTGATTTTGAGTGGAATTACAAATGTGTGAAAATACAGTACTGGGATTTCTCATCCTTCCTAGCAGTTTTTGTCTTAAGTAGATGATGTGAATGGTTTGTGTTGACACCAGAACTGGACGAAGTGCTCTTCTTTTGTGCACAGAATCAGAAGTGCAGAACCATAAACATCAACCTGTTCAAGCATTTGCTAAGGAGGCTGTTCTTTGTGTGCTATGTACTTTCTCACCATCTCTCAAACTTCTTTGACTAGCACTCAAGGGAAAAGTCCTCTTCTAATCCTGTAGACATCTTTGATCACTAGACTAACTTGCTGGTAGCTCTGGTGAAGTAAATTGGTACCATGTCCTCTCTATACATGTATTTTAAAAGAATGAGATCTTCAAAAGGGAAGTCTATATTTTGTGCCTTTCTGCCCTAGTTAAAAGCAGGTTGCCTGTGTTCTTTGAACCACCACAGTATTGAAGTGTCAAATCTCTTCTAAAGGGAAGGCCAAATTGAAAGGAAAATGGAAAGTTTGTGCTGCACATGCCAATTTCCAACAATTTCTTCATTGTTTGAAATGGCTTCTTTTAGAAGCATTTAATGTATGGTATAAATAGGCCTTAAAACACCTTCAGCAGTTCCAGATTTGCTTCTGAATTCCTTTGTCATGTAGACTTCCATGGGCATCAGTATGGTAAGTTTTCTAGGGAACGAGTGGTCATATTTTGTATTAACTTCTATGGAAATTGAACCAACAGCCTGCAGATCTATTAGGGAAGATAAACTTCATCTGGATTTCACAGAAATAAACCAGTCTTGGTACTTCTGAAATGGTTTTAAATACTTACTGTCCTAGTCTTGGAGTTCCTGTGCTGGTTGGTATTGCAGCTGCTTTTTCCTGTCTGTAACACTGTCTTTGCTCATTAATGAGGATAGAAGCAATGTCATTTTTAATCTGTTGTTTGAATGTTAGATGTTTCATTTTTAGCAAGCTAAAATGATTTCTTTGAACACTGCCATCCTTTTTGGGAAACTACTGCTCAGGTACAGCAAGGTGCACTTTCTTCAGTGTATTTGTTGATTTGAATGTTTATGAAAGTCAAGCTAGCTGCCTTTCTTCGGAAGCAGAGACTTTGTAGAAGTATCCCATCCATACCAAAACAAGCCCTTTAATAAGATCATATGTATTTAATCAGGATTGTTCTGCCTCAAACTGTGAATGTAAATCACCTTATACTGTTGAGCTGTTTATCAGGAGCGTATTAGCGTGATGCTCTCAAGCATTTTCAGCTATTTCTCTTGAGTTTTGTAGTATTTTTGGAGTGAAAGCAATTTCTTGCACAAGTCTCTGAATCAGGTAGGATGTCTTTAGCTTTCTTCCATTTGAACATCTCCAAGTAAAGTTGGGAAGCTTTCTGATCACAGGAGTGATCAGTACCTAGTGGAAATGACAACAAAGTTTTGGATGAATGGGTGATAAAAGCTGTATGTTGCAGAGGTGATGTCAAAAAGGAGGCATGCTTTATTATTTTTAATAATGTAATTTCTGAAATGGTTCAGTATCTGACAAGCATTCTGAATTAATCTTATATCTCAGGAATATATCAAATGTTCAGCACATTAATTATTTGTTAGCCCTTGCTCCTTTATAGCTAGGTCAGCTCTAAGGTCTGCCGTATCCTTCTGTTCTCAAAGTCACTTTAGGTTTTGTGAGCTCTTTTGAGCAAATTAAACATTTGTAAAAAGTTAACCTGTTTTTTGTTCAGGTATAAATACCCTGAAGATAACTTCAGTACTTACTGCTGATGCTATTATTACAGTTATTCATTTATAGTAAAGTATTCAATTGGTTTATTCACTAGAACAGTTGTTCAGAAGATTCATTTTAATTGAACTACAAGACCATATGGTATCTATATGTAAAAGACTCCTAGACTTTTTCCTATCAGTAAATGAAAGGTGCTAGTTAACCAACCCATTATATCAGCAGTGCTGTTCTTACAACTAAAGCACTGTCTTCTCTGCATGTTTAGCATGTAACTTATTTTTGTGGAACTGTTTAGCACTGCACACCCACTTCTAAGGGCACCACAGTGGACGTGTTAGGGGTTTTGTTTGTTTTACATTCTCTTGGGAGTTAAGTATTTCTATGCTGCAAAATTATCCAAAGTTGGGAAGATAGCAGTAATTTTGATTGAATTTCTTTTGTGACAAGCTGTAGTGCTGAGACCATGTAAAACTTGGGTCTAAGCCTTGAAGGCATTTTAGTAATGTTACTTTTAAAACTTCTGTGATAAAGGATTTCATGTGATAAAGGATCTTTAAAACAAGAACAGTTACACTTCATTAAAAGGATCTTGTGATTAAAGCAGCTTTGTGTGCTTGCTTTGTTCTACATATATAACCTATATCCTGTGTAAGATTATATGAGATTATATTATATCCCACCAGTTCAACAAGTAAGGAGAGTAACTATGTGGTGAAGCAGGTTCTTTCTGTCTCCATCGTAAATACATGTGCACATCCTAGTCCTAATATAGTTGGGCTCTTTGTCCTGGTCTTTCACCAAAATAAGCTTATCCTTAAGGATGGCTCTTTGTTACTTGCTGATTAGTATCTTAATGCTTCAATTAATATCTTAGGAGACATTGTCATAGACTTTAACAGTGAATTCAATATATAGTTTTTCATAGTTTATCATTATGCTGGTTGAGTGTGGTTGAGTTAAACAAGTATAATCTTTTTGGTGCCTTCAAGAGGCATTGGGTTGGCACATCCAAACACTTGTCAACAGCTAATTCATGCTTCAGTTACTTGTTGGTGTTTGGTTCTATAAAAATGATGGAGCCTATTCTGGGCTTTGGGCATTTGCTAGTGAATTAATGAATCTTGGCTAATTTGGGAGTGTGGTCACACCATTTATCTGATAGTCTTAAAACAGTTCTTACCACGCTTGTTTGTCTGGAATACACTTAGATTTAAATAGCCAGCGACAAAGACTAAAAACAATGCTAAATTTTGGTTCAGAGAGGTGCCAGTGCCCTTTTTGTTCATTGTAGGTCATTCTCTAGAGAGCTGGCAGTGCTATCAATTCCATGTTTTCAGAGGGGAGTTTAGACCGAAAGCTGCAGCAGTCACTGGCTACAGTTAAGTCCATGAGAGTGAGTTTGATTCATGGAGCATGTTATGGCTTACCTATCTGTGAGGATAAATAAGCTACAAGAAAAGCCTTTGGGTAGGCTTGCGCTTCCACCCTTTTATTTCTTGATATCACTGCCCAGTGCAGAAATTGGGAGGCAAACTTGAACTATCCAGAGGCACTGTCTAAGTGTTTCCTTAAGAGGACTTAAGGAAAATTGTTCTGTCTTTTTTTTAACTGGAAGGCATTGCTTGTTACAGATTTACCCAAGATATTCCTGCTTGTTTAAAGCTATAGGAAGGTTTCAACTAATGTGATTTTACTTTTTGAATGAATTGGACAAAAAGTGCCTACAAACAGCTAAAGCATCTTGGGTGACCAATGAGTGCCTATTCCTCCACAGTTCCATGTATTTAATGCCCAGATGTGACATCACTCTGTATCCTTGCTTTAAAGACAGCATTTTGACTTGTCTCAAGTCATGCTTCTGAGATCAAGGGCGAAACTGTAGTCTACCCAGAATAGTTCTTCAATAGCAGTTCAGCAACAAGAATTGCTGAACAAGGATGTGCCTATCAAGAAAAAAATATCTTCGGGAGATCAAATTCTAACCTGCTGAATGGTGAGGTTTCTTCCTGTGGAAAGGCTGACTTTTTTCCAAGAAACTTAAAATCGGATTTAGGTAAGGGAGATATTTTAATGGAATTATTTTTCTTCACAGGAGTCTGTAACAGACTACACTACACCTTCTCATCCTAACACAGTGGCTACTAGCAGTACAAAAATGGAGGAGACTTTGGTGACGAACGTAAGTCTATTGCAGTGAATCGACTTTGAAGACAAGAAAATTTTTCACACTTCCTTAAAGCACAAAATACTGCCTTCAGTTAACAAGTCACTAGAGTTCCTTCATGTTGACTAGCTGTGCACTACCCAGTGATCTTCCTCTGAAGGACAGTTGTTGTTTCAATTAGTATCTGTTCTGGAATTCTTCAGATATTTCCTTATTTTTCAATGACCTGCAGAGCAGAGAAAGTGTGAAAATATTTCTAGGGACAATTCTAAAATATACAAAGAAAAGTATAATGAATGCACTCTCAGCAGTAGCTGGGTTTTGAACCTGGTGCGAAGGTCTGTAGGTGATTTTGAAGAAAGACCTCTAAAAAGAAAACAGTTTTGAACTGTAGCCCGAAATCAGTGACTGTACGCAAAGAGAGCAGCTTAATGGCTTTTGAAAGCATGCAGCAGGATTTCATGTATTCAGTAGAGATGTAATGTCTGCAGTCCTCACAAAGCCAGTGATCCTGATTGTGTGTGCGGTGTTCTGATTGAGAAGACCAACTGGATTATGTTGTGGAGTCAAGTTTGTCTCGAGCTTGCTGGGATACCGGGTTGGAAACACGGATCTTGTTATTTTTGTTTGAGTAGCAGAAGTATAATTAGCTCAGAGTTGAGTCACTTATTGGTTGGGGGAGGGAAGAATTCATGCAGTAGTGTCTCAGGTTTTTGCTGGTGTCTCGTGAAACGCTTTTCAGCTTACTGCAGCATCCTTTAGTGCGGTTTTGAAGCAATATTGGCTGAGCTTACTCTTCTGTTGGATTTTTCTGGTGTTGTTGTGGTTTGTGCCTTTGGTGGATAGTGTAGAAAATTGACTGCTGTGTAAATGGTGGTAGTGTATGCTCCAGTGTGGCACGTTGGAGTTGGATTTGCAGCACAGGATCCTGGCCACAAAGGATCTGTGGTATCGCCTGCTTCAAAGCTTCAATATCTGCATCTTTTGGATTAGCCTTATCTCATCAGTGGCTGGAATTCCATAAGCTTCGTCTGTGAGAGGAGAAAGATGGAGAAAGAACTAGTCAGAAAGGAGTAGACTGGCCACTGCATTATTTTTGGTACATTCTATTTAGAACATCAAGGAAATCATCAGCATTTTCTGCAGTAAAGATAGAAGTAGCCTTTTGTCAACTTTATTTCCCTAGGTTTGACATCTTTAATCTTTTGAAAGAGAAGATAACTGTATTTGGTTACTGGATGGCAAATCCGTTTTGGTTTGTTTCATGGTCCTGTGACTCTGAAGGTTTATAGCTTCCTCTTTTCAGAAACTGAATCTCAGAACTCAAGATGTCACTATACCCCATGTACTGTATTGGTACAGAATGGGCCAAACTTGGCTTGGGAAGAATTTTTGCATATCATTAAAGTAAAATGGTACTTCAAAGTATATCCCAAAGCAGAAAATTGGTATTTGTTTATGCAGAAGACACGGACCCTTCAGAACCCCAGTCTTCAGCCTCTTTTTATTAAAGAGAGTTGAGAAGCATCTCAGCACCTGCTGAATGACCTTTTCCCTACCATATTTTCACCTTATTTTATCAAAATCTCCCTGCCAAATGCTCAAGCCTTGACAAAGTTGTAGCTCACTGAATAAAGCTTGAGCTTTGCTTTTTCTGGGGCTTTCATAATAGACGTAGTTAGAATGTGATGTGTGTTGCCTGCCTTTCAGGTGCCCCTGCCCCACACCCTTCCCCTCCCTAGGAGGGAGACTCTACAACAGAGCTCCAGCCTAACTCCAGTTTCTCCCGCTACCGTCGACCTCACCCTCAAGGTATGTACCACATCCCTCTAAGGGTTGTTTTCTTGCATGCAGGGGAAAGTTAATGGAGAACTTGCTGGTAAACCTTTTTTTAGAGCCTTCCTTTGTTTCCTCTGCTGACTTGCTTCTGCATATAAACGGATGGCTGAAACACAAGACTATCAAAGGATGCATTTAAATTCTAAATCTCTAACCCCATTTTGCATTAACACTTGGCATCAACCAGTCTTGGCTCCCACTGCCCTGAAAAAGGATCCTAGCATTTTAGCATTGTACCATTGTGTTCATGACAAACCATCAGAATCTGACTGATTTTTAAGTTTTTTTTGTATGTGGCATAAAGCAAGTTGCTTAGTTGGGTATTAAAGGCTGCAAGGAGTTGCTTGGTATGCCAAGCTTGATTTTCTTAGCAGTAAGATTTTGGTGCAGTGATACTGTGTTTTGAGTTGGATGGCTGAAGTTCTAAAAAATACAAAGTAGGGTGGAGTGTTGGAGACTCTGAAAGGCAGTTCTATTAGCTAGTCAGAACATGCTTTGTTGTGTTATAAATATTCTGCTGTTTTCTGCTCTTCAGTATAGAGCAAGTGTATGGAATATTTTGAGTGGCATTTTGCCATTTTGATGGATTTTTGGATTGTGTGTATTGTATAACTCACTAACATAGTATTGGTCTCTATTTTGCTACTGTACCTTTAGAAGTTTTTTGGTCTTTTTGGTGTGTGAGATCTGCTTTGCTATTGTGACTGCAGGTGATTGAACTAGTAGAAACGGTGTTCCTACTTTTCTAGTAGTAAGAGTGATGTTTGAAATTAGTTTCTGTAATTTACTTTAAAAAAACCAAACGCTTGAAACCAGGGATTGGATGCAGAACTAACACTGGAGAAGGTTATTTGTCAGTCCTGGTGAGACTTCAGTCTTGCTGGCATGGTTTGACAACTGCTTGCTCGTATTCTCTATGGATGATAGTTATTAATGATCTCTTGTTGTGTCTTTGCTTTTCTTTTGTTAACACTTATTTTCCTGGGGAGAAAAAAAAATAACATCATAGACACTTGGGCCAGCAAAATGGGAAGAGGGCTTGAGGAGGGACAAGTAAATTAACAAAACTCTCTGATTTTCAGTTGCATTCTTGTGTAACAAATTACCGTAACCTGACTTTCTGGCGCCTGAAAGCATTTTTCTGAAGTAGCAGTCTCTAAATGTTTAGCAACTGGACATCCGATCCACATGTAATACAGGTAGGATTGTTACTACAACGTGAAACCACAGGGAACATGACACTGCTCAGCCACAGAGCAGACTACAGCATTTGTCTATTTCATCCTGCAGTTTCTTGTTCTCTAGTTCTGGTGTGTCAGTGATTTGATTCATTTCTCATTGGATGATCAATCTTGGATATGTAGCAACAGAGTACATTGAAGATCCATGTTTTTAATGCTACCTTGAAGTACGCTCTGATGAAAATTTGAATGAAAGGATGTTTGGGAACAGCTTTGTCTCTGTGTTCTCTGTTCCAGCCGCTGGAACGCTACATCCTTCCAAATGCTGAAGGCAGCAAGCTTGTTTTGAGGTGTGCACTGAGGCTATCACTTCCACAAAAGACTTTCTGGCCCAGACAGGGCAAAGCTGCCCGCTCTAACCACCTTTTGTATCATCCTTGCTTTTAAAAAAGCTCATTAAGAGCAACAGAAAACAAAGGATTTCCTTCCCTCCCTTAGAGCAAAGTCTCCAGGCTCTGCCTCCTTCCTCCAGCCACACCTGTTCCCAGTACTTTGTATCATTCTGCAAGAGTGTAGGTGCAAAAGATGCTAGTCTGAGAGAGATTGAGAACTTTTTCCTTACACCTTTACTGAGGCAATAGTTCTCAAAGGACTTACCTGACATGGCTGTTTCTAGTTAAGGAGATGAGCAGAAAAAAGCCAAAGTCATCTCAAGCTGAACTGCTTGGCCTACTTCCATGTTCCAGAGTTCAACATAAAATTCCTGTGTAGTCACCTGAGTCTGGAGTCTGGCATCTTTTGAGTTTCTTTTATCTGTCAACTAAACTTTGACATAGAGAAGCATGTGCACGTACATATTTGTCTCAAGTTTGTAGGTAGTAAGTACTGGACTTTTAATTCAGTGTTGAGGCCCCAAGGGGTGAACAGTGAAGAAGAAGCCTCAAGCAACCAGGATCTTCAACCTGTGCTCTCCCCTTCCTGTAGCTGAGCAGTAAGCAAAATCACAACACCTTCCCAAGTCTCACTCAACGTAGAGCTACTTCTTCCTTCGCATCTGTTCTGTAGATGGTGCTGCATGGATACATGTAGTATATCAATGTCTCTTCCATCCAGAGATTGTTGAGGAGCTCTTTAAAAGCAAGGCTCAGATCTCTGTTAAATGCTGTTTGTAGCAAATTGGTAGGGATATGGAATGACTTGAGAAATCTTGGTAGTATCTAGGTTTGGAAGACAAAATTCAGTGTGTAGACTCCTGCTCTTGTCACTAGTTTCTCCAGGGCATCATGAAACATGATGAATGTAGTAGAAGCTTCTATGCATTCTCCATTCAGATATGTACAGGCACTTTCCTCATTTTCTCATAGTACCAGTGCAGTGTTCCACCTTATGTAGAATCCTTTCCAGCAAATTTATAATAAATTTTTATTTTTGTCCTCTCTGCAAGAATCGGAACCAGTATGGAGCAGAGTATTATAATGGGGGAACTAAACATAAGTGCATGATGACGGTCTCAAAAAGGAAAATAGATAAGTCACCTATCTTCTAATGATTTGAGGTGCAACAAAGTTTCTTTCTCTCTCCTTTTACTCTTGAAGAATACAGAGCTATAGCTACTTTATGGTTGTGTATCAGTAGTGTTAGCCACTTTTTTGTGTACTGCTTTGCTTATTTATAGCTTTTGAAGCATCTAGCAAAATAATCCAATTTCTCTTTGGCCTGTCCAGGCTCTGCCTAATGCATTTCATGCAGGGTGGTTGAAAGCATGACTTTCAAAGGCTGCAAATCCCAGTTAGGGCACTCTACTGATCCAGGCAGCGAAGCTGCTGAGGATATATTTGAACCTTTACAAATACCTTTAAATACAGCATCTGGCCTTGAGAAGCTTAGAATCCTATAGATGAGGGATTTTAGCCTCTGGCATCCAGCTGTGCACACAGTGATTCCACTTCAACCTCTGGCTGTCCTCAGTTGTAGAGCGAAGTCTGTGGTCTTTGAGCATTTCAATTTCTGAATGCAGTCTGAACATAAACAGTTTCAGTAGTCCCTCAGAGGTGTCTCAATTCAAAGATAGAGCCTTATGAACCTGTTCTAGCAATGATGAGATCGTTGTTGACTGCAGTGAAACAGTAGTTCTCACTTTTGGTGGAAGAGGATTGTGTCTGAAAATTGTAGATTGAAGTTTCAACTTGCTATGCAGTAGTGAAACTCACTGTAGAAAGAGGAGTGTGAAGCATGTTGAGCTCTAACGTAAAGCAGTATGCACGGGCTGTGTCAGCTTTGATAGCATTTTGAACAGCAGTGGATTTGGAAATGTGCACTTGGGTGCTCTTGGGTTTTCTAAAACGTATATTAGATTTGGTGGTCACTCAAAATATATGACTTAGCAGGAAAGCAAGGAGCTACTTTGTTTAAAAGGTCCAATTAACTTAAAAGAAAAAGTCTTCCTGGAAATACTTGGATACCTTCGTACCTTTCTTTTGCTTCCTGTGTCATTTGCTCTCCGTGTCAAATAAAAGTAAGCCAGATTAGTGTGAGTGAACTCTCTTTTGAGTACTCAGCATTAAGATGAACTGTGCACGTGTGCAGTTGGAACAGATAAGAAGCTCCAACTTCAGGCCGTATGCTTTTTGCATGAACAGAGTTGCACGATTACGGCGATTTTTTTAAGAGGCTCGCATGAAGCCTGAGTTGCCTTTTGAACTAAAAATAACTGTTAAAAGAGGAAGGCTGTTGGACTGGTCGAATTTCCTAATAGATAAGGAGATTTGTTTTCTTTTTAAATAGATGGAGTCTGCACGCAAAGCATGGGAGAATTCCCCAAACATGGGGGAGAAGAGTTCACCAGTGACCTCAGCAGCATCTCCCATAGCTGGTGGCAGCAGCAGCAACAGCAGCAGCAGCAACGCTGTGCCAAGCAGTGGTACTTACAGCTCTTTCTCTAGTGCATCAATGCCTCCTATTCCTGTGGCTTCTGTTACACCAACAACTTCACTATCAGGTACTGGGTGTCAAGATTGCAGTGTCCTGTTATATTGCTCTTTGTTCTGTGTTCCAAAAAATTAGGTTCCCTATGGAAATACGTTTAATACAGAGCTGACAAATTTTGTGCAGGTGTGAAATGTCGTATCTGAGCAGTAGTTTCTCAGATACCTCTAATTAACAAAGAGATCCATTCCCTATTGCACTTCAGTCAGCTAAAAAGAATATTGAAAAGACATCTTTCTGCTTATGCTACATATAAGGACTTGAAAGAGGATGCTTTTGTTGGCTGATATGTTAGTTTCATTTTGTTTATCTGAGTGAATGGAGGCAAGTGGGATTTTTTTTGGAACAGATGTTAGTTCTGGCAGCTACTCAGTTCAAGCAAACAGGTTTACCTTCCAGCAAACACTTCATCCAACTAGTTGCAGCATTAATTTCATTTGCAGTTTACTTTTAGAGCCAAGGCTTCAACAGCTTATACCGAGCCTCCCTTGTATTAGGGAGAGCAAGTGCCCAACTGTTCTTCATGAACAATGCTTGTTCTCATCCTTGTTATTTGTCAGAACCAAAAGATGCTACGTCTGATTAAGTCTTCACGCCTAGGAACGTTAGAATATATGTCAAAACCTCAGCAGATTAAAAAGACCTTTTTTTGGAGCCAGGCTTTTGGTCCTGAGGCACAGTCACAGTACGCCAGTATTATTAACTGATATAACTTCTTTGATATTTTCACATCCTCCTGCACTTGAGAAGGGAGAAGTACTATTGTTGTAGCTCTTCCTGTAGTGAACCTAATAGAATTGTTCTTTCTACTCCCCATCTGCCTTACAGTGATGGAAATAGCTGCAGTAGATTTCGGTTTTCATTACCGATAGCGGCTGTGCTTGCATAGCTATACCAAAAACTCTGAGCACTGAAAGAGAGGAGGCTTTGGAGTGTCTTCAACTGGTTGATGATACACCACTTGCTTCTCTCCTTCTAGGAGCTGGAACATACACGACCTCTTCTCTGAGTACAAAGACTGCAAGCACCTCGGACCCTCCCAATATATGTAAAGTGAAACCACAGCAGTTGCAGACAAGCAGCCTAGCTTCTGCAAGTCACTTTTCCCAGCTGAGCTGCATGCCATCCCTCATTGCCCAGCAACAGCAGAGTCCCCAGGTCTATGTGTCTCAGTCTGCAGCAGGTAATGGTGTTTGACTGAGAAACCACGTGTCTGCTGTTTTGGAGTTCTGAAGCTTGAGAATTGAACTTCATTCTGATTTTATCTGTAGTAAAGGCAGAACGATGGAGAAGCTTTTATAAGCAAATAATCACTAATTATCTTAAGTTACATATACAAGTCATATCGATAATGCTATGTTTTTAGCTTAGTGAAGAAAGTGAGTTTCTTGCTCTTCAATTTACCAATTCTGTGCTTCAGAATTTTATGTCACTATTTAAGACCAAGAATGACTAGTGTTGGTGATTTTAATAAGGTGCCACAGTAGTTTATGGTAATGGCATTTTTCTTCAAAGAAAGTTCTACTTATAGTTAACCTAAATTACATGAAGCATGTTCTTTCCCTTCCTTCATTAAAATGCCTCTTTTTGCCAAAAACTGTTTTGTCCCCAAAGAATAACATGGGTATGCAAAAATGATAGATTCTGATAGAGATGAATTGATACCAAAGAAAACATACCACACTTACTATGCACCCAGCTGTAGGATTCAAACTCTGGTAGTTGTACTGGGAAGTACTGACAGTGGCTGCATCTCTAACTTCTGGTGAAAATTTGTCTATGAATGGAATGCTTGGAAGTTTATACTAATTGTATTTCTCCTCTTGAGGTACTGCAGCCCAAATTCCAGCTTTTTATATGGATACAAGTCACCTGTTCAACACCCAACATGCACGTTTGGCACCACCTTCTTTGGCCCAACAGCAAGGCTTTCAACCAGGACTTTCTCAGGTATTTGGGGATTTTTTTCTTCCTTTCTCCTCCATCCCAGCTCAGCTGATGGGTATATAGGGGCAGGCAACAGTGGGAAGATTCCACAAGAAACAAAATCATGCCTACTTTTACTGCTTCATACTGATACCTGTGGATGGCATTCAATCTCTCCTGCTCCTCTCGATTCAAAACAGTTGTCATAAAAAGCTTTCACTCACAGTATACTTAATGTGAAAGCACATATTCACAAGGTGCTTGTATGATCATGTTAAGACAGGTTTATTCCATTTAATGGCTTCTTCTTTGTGCAGCCTGCTTCAGTACAGCAGATCCCCATCCCCATCTATGCACCTCTGCAAGGACAGCACCAAGCTCAGCTGAGTTTAGGAGCAGCACCAGCTGTGTCACAAGCCCAAGAGTTGTTCAACTCTTCTTTACAACCTTACAGGTAAGTAACATGTGTATTTGTTTGCTTTTTGGGTGGCAGAATTCATAGAACTTACATCCTTGCAAATGTATTCTGTGTTCAATGGCTACTTCATCTTTCTGTCTTTCCCTCCCAAAATCTTTAATCTGTTGATCCGCATAAGAACTCCGTACACGGATTAGCTGGTTTGCATGTACAAGTGGAGCTGTGAAATTCTGGGTTCAGAATTTCAATTATTTGAATATCAATTATCAATGATATTTGCATCTTGAGGAAATCAGGCTAAAAAGCTGAAAACATAATTCTTCCTAAATAAAAAAAGCAATGGTGGGGGGGAGAGAAGTCTGACCTTCTAATTTAGCATTTTGTTTATTTGCTGATTAAACCAACATTGTAATCTAGAAACACTGTGAAGTCCAAATTTGAACCCCATAGGTAACCCCAGATGCATTGGAGATGGCAGATCACGCTTTAGAATATTTTCTGTTAGCTACAGAAGTCAATCAGAAGATCAGTGTATCTCAGGTGGCGTTGAATTTGTCTGCATATAAATCTGCATAGAATTTTCTGCTGTAAACTATTCCAAAGCTTCTGTGTTGTTCCTATCAAAATTTATTCATGGTGGTACTCTGACAAACTCGGTTAGTTTCACTTTGAGAAAGTTTTTTTTGAGAAAGTAATTAGAGATTGTTGCCTGTGCGTGTAGAAAAGCCTGTTGCTTGTGATGTAGGAAGCCGAAGCCAAACTAAGTAGACTTAAAGGAATCTCACATGTGTATCCTGAATCCCTTTAACCTTTAATCTCTCTCTATCCTGTGTACTAAGTGCTTTTTGGACTGGGTGAATCAGATCAAATATTGTTTGTCCTTCCAAAGCTGACAAAAATGGTTGCAAACAATTGGCTAGCTGCAGAAACACAATCAGTCTGGCATGCAGTCCAGATTAAATAAATGCTTCTGCCTGATCTAGTCATGCACGCAGTACTGATGGGGTTTTGGGATGTGCTATCTGAGGGAATACCTTTCCCACATCTTTAAAGATACAGAGAAGGATGAGCTACAGAGGTTACTGGTTTAGAATAAATCTCTATGTAGGTTAATGTATATATAAAACACATGAAAATGTGTCTATTTTGAAGACCGTATTTGCATTCAATTTAGGAAAGTTTTTTTTTCCAGTGCTTACAATTAAAATTGTACAATTATAAGAGTGGTGTGTAACTTAAGGTACAGAATGGAATTAACGTGGATGTTCTGTAAGGCAAGCACAAGGTTGTTACTGTCTTAATAGGTTAATAGGGCTACTGCTATGCTAGTACATATCAACCAAGCTCTTGGTGAAAGGTATTTTTACATGGAAAACACTGTTCTTTGAGATAAGAGTTTAAACAACTCTCAAAACTCTTAGCTGACTCTCTGATGTGAAGGTGGCTATTCAGCTGACTTAAGGGAGGGTTTGAAGAAATACTTCCTGGTGGACTAAAACCACCTCTCTGTTGCAGTGCTTTGCTGTTCTGTTTTTGGTCTTTGTTTTTTAAACTGCAACTTTCCTATGGTGATGGCAAAGCAACTGAATATCCAGTTAAAATTAAAGGCTCTGGTTTCTATTTGTGTTTCGATTTTGAAGCCAGAGTATTCATTGGAAACTACAATTGTCAACATCCAGTAACTTAACTTGTAAGTATTAAAGGTCAGATTTGGGAGATCTATGAAGTCAAGAGTATAAAAACAATTTGCTTTATGATGGAGTGGGACTGCTAATGTGATAGTGCATGAACTAAGAACCAGTAGTTAGTGTACACTAACAATTTGGTCAAATTAGGAAAAAATACTTCAGCTTGATGTGTATATGGGTATAAATAAAAAAAAAGTCTGGTTATTTTTCATGTGGTCTTTAGTATCTATTATTTTGCTGCCTGCAGAATAAAAAAAAGTCGTCTTCTAGTAAAAACTTGGCCAATCAAGTTTTCTAATTGTGTTTAAACAATATAACTCGTGACTTTAAATTTCTGGTGGTTCGTTGTTGAACTCTTAGTTTTTATACATAATGCTCCAATCTATTGCAGGTCCCAGCAAGCTTTTATGCAAAGTGGTTTGTCTCAGCCATCACCAGTAGTTCTGTCTGGTACAGCCTTACACAACTTCCCGACAGTACAGCACCAGGAGCTTGCAAAGGCACAGTCAAGCCTGGCATTTCAGCAGACTTCTAATACACAACCTATTCCAATCTTATATGAACATCAACTTGGTCAAGCTTCAGGACTGGGAGGCTCTCAGCTTCTTGATACACACATTCTCCAGGTAGGAAATATCAAAAATGCAAAACTTCTGCAGTGATTTGATAAAAAAAAAAATAATAATGCAATAATAAATAAAGTATTGCGACTTCTGTAATAGTTACGTGATGGTTGTAGGTGGCAGAACGCTTCAGACACTTGGAAGATAATGTTCTTTTGGTTTCATAAAGGTACATTAGAATTATCTCTTAATTAAGGATTGTTTTCCAGAATACAGGAATCCTTGCATTTGTATTATTACTGGAACTCTTCATTTGGTTTCATTTATTGTAGGTGGCAAAGGACTATTCCACCATTTGCAAATAAGAGCTGTATTATAGTCTGAAACATTCAGGTTTTCCTATTTCTGTCCTGTTATTTCTACTGTACTACTGTGTCACACTGTCTCAGTTTTAAGAATTAAGTATTATCTTATCATTATATTAAGTATTATTAAGTTTATTGGAATTAACTGTTCTTAATGTTGTTTTTCACTCTTCCTAGGCTAGAGCTACACTCACCCAGGCTTCAAATCTGTATTCTGGGCAAGTTCAGCAACCTGGCCAGAGCAATTTCTACAACACTGCCCAGTCTCCTAGTGCTCTCCAGCAGGTAAACTATGGCATGGTAAATTTCCTAAATTGTATTCTTCTTAAAAGCATGTTGTTGGTGATGGTTTGGGTAGGTTATGGGAGAGGAGGTTTTGGAGAATCATTAATTCTTCTGAACTGAAAGAATTAAAAACTGATAGCTGTAGGGAGTTACTGCAGCAGCACTGCAAAATTGAGTTACTGAGAAGCTGAATGGCCTGCAAGTTCATCGTGATAGTTTGTCTATGGTCTCCTTTTCTTAAATAGTTCACCTTCCAGTGATAAGCAAAGATGTAGTTTGTACAATGCTGTTGCTAACTGCTGAGGCATGTGCTGTTTTCTTGGGTTCAAATATTGGTGGTGGAAAAGCCGAGTAAACTGCAGGGTGCTTGGTGCAAGCCAGTTGGTAACACCCAAGTTTCACTGAGTTGAAAAGTCAGACCTGCCTCGTGTCAGAGATCAAACATAGAAAATAACTGAGAAGTGGGCAGATAAATGATCGATCAGATAAGCAAAATAGGGCAGCCAGGTCAGTAACATGCATCAGCAGATTTGTAAAATAGCTCCAGTGGAATTCTTTTGTGAAAGATCTGTTAATTTGCTCTGTGCAGGTATAGTCATATTTACAGCATGCTGTCTATTGGTTACCATCTTCTGGTTCAAAATTTGATTTTTAAGTAGCTTTTGGGGGGGGGAAGCTATAGTAGACTCCTTAATACACAAGCAGTTACCAAAACAGATGTCTAGAAAAGATTATTTATAAATTGGGTCTCATCTGTTGAAAATGGAGCATAGTTTAAAGGACCTTCTAGAAATGTTCATGTTTTTAATGTGTTCAAATATGACTGTCTCTATACTTGAAATTTTTTTATCATTCAGAACAGAACCTTGCTAAGTCTTTCACATCTGGAGAGTATCATACATAGTCACACAATATATTTTTTTCGGGTCTGAGACTGGTGGTCAAACTACTAAATGCAATTATTCCTGCCAGTCAGGTCACTGTGGTATTCTCACATGCTTATCCTCTGATCTTTAAAATCCCTTCCAGCCCAAACTACTCTATGATTCCATAGGAAATTAAACCATATACTCTGTATATAACTGAAATGACAGAACTAGTAAAGGAAGTTAAATGATGGCCCTTGTGTATATGTTACTGATGACTCTATACTTCTTTTTTCCCCCAGGTAACAGTACCTTTACCAGGATCACAACTTTCTTTGCCCAACTTTGGATCCACAGCACAGCCACTTATTGCCCTACCCCAGTCTTTACAACCACCACTACAGCACACACCACCGCAAGCACAGGCTCAAAATCTAAGCAGACCAGCACAAGTAACCCAGCCTTTCAGAGGATTAATCCCAGCAGGAACTCAGCACAGTATGATAGCTGCGACTGGAAAGGTATTCGTATGGATAAATCTGCAGTACAAAAATTAACATGAAGCATGGCTATTTGCTATTCTGTAGAACCAGCATGGCAACCTGTGATGACACTTGCATTTAAAAAACTTGCCTTGACCTTAAAAGTTAGAGGGTAAAACAGGAAAGCCAGCCAAGATCAGTCCCTTAGTGACAGAGTGTGTGCGTCTTGTGAAAGCTTAGATGAGTTTCATTTGTGGTTGGCTTGCTACTAGTCAAATTGCACTACAGGAATGCTTTGTTTGATAATGGCTTTGTGGACTAGTAGAATACTTCATGTAGGGCACCATGTAGAAAACTGTACAGAAGGAATTGTTAAAGCATCATCACAGTGTCAGAGCTGTTTTTTTGTTCTGGTCATGCTTCTATCTGTCAGTGTTTGTTTCTAATCTAATACTGGAGCAAACTGAGATTTCATTTGTGCTTCTAAACTGACAAGTGCATTGGCTGCATTTGTAATGCTGCCACCTGCTGCATGAATTTATTCTATTGTGTACCTGTTGATCTAACAGAGTAGATGTAATCTTTACTAATATTGTCTTGTTCTCTGTGTAGATAAGTATTCCAGAGAATTCCTGTCAGGTAGCTGTGGTGAAAAAACATCACAGGGGAAGCTTGTGTATCTCTGTGTAGATAATTCTAGAGACAGGAAGTTATCCCTTCTTACTTTTGTAAAGACATTAAAATCTCTTCTGCCCTTCAGTGTGAATCGAAGAGCGAATGGCATGGAAACTAGTCTTTCTGATGCAACAGACTGGAGTTTTAGGGACTTCAGTGGACTCTGTATTAGCTGTGACCTTGAAATAGAACTAAATTCTTCTGCTCTCTGAGGTTCTGCTTTTCTGATTAGCGCCACAAGGTGCTATGAGAACACAGAACACCGTGTGCAAAGGCTGGTCTTACAGCGAAAGAAAACTTGCCTCGAGTGACAGCTCTAGCAAGGAGATAACACTGAAACAGTGCTGGAAACTTAAATACTACAAGGGAATTTTCTCCTTTGTGTGGAGCCTCTGTGACAGTTGCTAATAAAGAGATGTGAAGAGCTGCCATCCAATCATGAGGTCTCTTAGATGCAATTTCAGATTTGCAGGCACATGGGATTTTTGGATAGTGTACAGCACCACACACTTGCGATGCTTTCAGGTGGCACTGATAACACTGTACATGAACACAGCCAAGCTTTCTGTTAGGTGTAGCAAGGTCTTTCCCTGGAGCAGGAAGTCATCTAGCTCTAGAGATACGCTTGAAATATTTAGAGCTTGTGGCCTGGATTTCAGGGTGCAGTTGCTATTGCTTCAGCAAGAAATGAGGAAGTTCAGGTGGGATGGTGGGATTTTCCCTTAGGTGCCTTTGCTGCTGTGTTAGAGGTTCCATCATATTCCTGCTAAAGGTAGCCAAATGAAAACAAAACCCACTTACATTTGACTTACTGTTGTTGTTATGCTTTATAGATGTGTGTGGAAGGGATGCTGTTCCAGAGCCTAATTTATTCTATTGACTGTATCTGCAAAATAACATGCAAGATTCATTGCTCCATTTATAGTCTGAGAATTTTCAATGTGAACGACTTCTTTGCTGTGGTTTTGATTTTTTTTCTTGTTTTCTAGAACTTGTTTATTTTATTCAGCTCTTCCTTTCAGCATTTTTCAGGATTGTTGCTAAATATTTTCCTGTGTTTTCTGAAGTGGGAAATAAAACTTCAAACTATAAATTTTTCTTTTCTCTTATTGAATTGGGACATTAATTGCTGTGCTTTTCAGATATCAGAAATGGAACTGAAGGCATTTGGAGGCGGTATTGATGTTAAACCTGGAACACCACCAGTGTCTGGCAGAAGTACAACTCCAACATCCAGTCCCTTCAGGTAAATCTCTTTTCAAGTTCCAAATTTTTGAAATCAGACCTGGAAAATTCACCTAGTCACACATGAGGAGCCAGCTTTGAAAAGCATGGGATGAGGGGCTACTAATGCAAAATACAGTGTTTAACCTGAACTTAAAAGGAGCGTGCTCTTAAGGTGTATGTCATCAGATCCCCACTGCATTCAGCCAGAAAAATAAAGCTCTGAAATAAGACATTAAAAATATTTTGGAATTAAATGGAATTAAAGAAATGAACTAAAAATGACCTAACAGACAGAACTGGGCAGAGATGATGTACTTTGGAGTAAAACTATCAAGACTATTTAACTTCTTTGAGTGTAGTAATAACTGCAGTATTGAAAGTTTAGAACAACAAAACTAAAAGCACCCGAGCAGAACTTCTTCTGTTATAGATCCTGCACTTTTTGTTTTCTAAGCTTTTCATGGTTGAAATTAAGCAGTTGGCAGGCTTACTTGGTTAACTGACAAAATAGATTTAATTCTCATATGCAGAATGTACCTCTCAGTGAACTTACTGAGATGTTTGTGTGTGAAGTTGAGTGGGCTGAAGGAACTTAAAAGTGGAACTTTGGAGCAAAGTAGTTTTGTTCTTGAAAACTGCACTCCCATGCATGGTAACTATATTTCATTGACTTTCAGTGTAGCAGGCTGAAAGCATTCAAGCTTTTCTAGTGAAGCAGGAATTAGTTTGAACTCCTGCATGCAGTCCTGAATTCTTGCCTGCAACGTTTCACGTAAGAAAAAAAGGAGTGAGAAAGATGATGGTCTGTGTCTTGTAGAAATGTTTCATGTAGAATCTGTGGGATGCAGCTGAAGCGGGATGTGCCATAAGCCTTGGTGTTAAGTGTGAAGGTACTGGGAAGACATAGAAAAACATAAGAGCTCAAAAGTCCCAAGTTTGTGAAATGTTGTGTGGACTGAGTATAGCTGCCTTCTTTGTCACTGTTGTCCTGCTGCTCGTTTCACATTGTGTTTTGCCCACACCTTCTGCACGAGAGCTCTCTGCAAGTCAGCCTCCATTTTTAAAGGAGGCTGTTCACTCTTTCCTCTGAGAGCTGTTGAGTGCCCTTCTCCCAGATAATCTTTCAAGCTTCATTTAATTCGTGGTGATTCCTCATGTCTTAGAAGTTATAATGGAGGACATACTCTCAGCCAAATAAAACACAGAGAGCATTTTCTGTAGAACTCTGGAAATTTGCTCAAACGCATCTTTAAAACATTTGCCAGGTCAGAGTGGAAGCAGCTGCACATTGCAATTGCCTGTTGTGACAAGCTCAGAGCCCCACAGCAGTGTAAAGGGGTAGGACTGAGCAAAAGGTAGCAGAAATGGGGAAGAGTACACGCTTTGTTAGAACTTGTAGTACTCTGAGGAGATGTCTTTCATATAGACATTACACTATAGCCTTTCCATATCTTAAAAATTTCTTAATAGCCTTCTGGGTTTGTTTCAGTTTGAATTGAAAGTACATCCAGAAAAATCTGATACTAGTTTCTATAAGAGATTTCCCCTACTTCAGGCTGCCTTTTAAGTTGCAACTAATGATAGAAACATGCTTTGTTTGAGGCAATGTGATTCTAACTGTTGTTTTTCTTCAGGGCCAGTTCTACAAGTCCTAACAATCAGTCCAATAAAATGAACAGCATTGTCTACCAGAAGCAGTTCCAGTCAGCAGCTGCTGCTGTGAGAATGACCCAGCCATTTCCTGCACAGTTTGCACCACAGGTAGGCAGCTGGTGGCTTCCTGCAGGCAAATCTTGCTCTGTATAACTCAGTGACTTCTCAACTTTGCTGTGTTTCTTCAGGTTTTATCACAGGGAGATGCACAATGAAATCTTTAAAAAAAAAAAAAAAAAAAGTGTGAAGAAACTGATTTCAAGATCAAGGCAAAAATACCTTCTGGTCTTGCTAACTAGTAGTGCAGATTTTGTGGTGGGTTTAATTGGAGAGTTCTGTGCGTGCCAAGGAATCTGTTAGTAGCTGTGAATGAGGTCAGTTCTTGTGCTGGCTTTCCAGGGAGTGCAGCTTTACAAGGGTGCTGCGTCCCACTTGTGGGTGACTGTAGCCAGGCTGCTAGGGAGACATAACCTCTGTCAAAATGTAGGATGTTTCTCTTCAGGCTTTAACATTTGAGTGTCTGACTGCAGAGCTTAAGGTTTGATTTTTTTTTTTTTTTTTTTTTATTGCAACTAGCAAAAACTACCTAGACTTTTCAGCACTGCCTTTCTCTAGCAACTCCTCCATCGCCTTGCCTGAGTCTTCTTCCTTATTATTTACAATGTCTAAGTTGTCAGTAAAACTTGAAGGCACAACGGCACTATAGTGCTGTTTTGTCCTGGAATTTAAGCATGGCCTCTCAACATAAAAGCCTGTTTTCTTGACATCAGTTTGACAGCAGAGCAGGCGTTTTTTTTTCCCCTATAAGATGATGCCAACATGCAATCTAGTTGGCAGTTTTCTAATTGTTAAATGTCTCTTTTTGTTGTTTTTCCCCCACTTAGATCCTCTCTCAGCCTAACCTGCTCCCTCCATTGGTAAGAGCCCCATATACTAACACCTTCCCAGCGCCTGTTCAGAGGCTGCCAATAGTACTGCATAGTCAGATGCCGTCTCAGATGATCACAGGCCTTATGAGCCACCCTCGCTTACCGCATGTGGCCAGAGGTCTTTGTGGATCAGTGTCTGGAGCCAGAGGCAGTCAGGCCCAGGCTGCGATGAAGGCTGAACAAGACATGAAGGTTAGTATTTGAGCTGCAGTGCTGCTAACACCAGTTCAGTCTTGACGGCTTGTAGGGCAGGAATGTGTCTGCAAATCATGTCTTAATTCAGATGCCGCTGGGCCTCCAACAGCTGAACATAGACCTTTTCTAAACCTTGTTTTGTTTTTTGTTTTCCTATTACTAAGAACTTGAGAATAAAAAAAAAAAAATGATTAGGGAGCTTCCTTTCTCAAGTGGTCCTGTGGTGAGTGGCTGTGAAACAGCTGCCACTGCCCAAGGCACTCTGACAACTGGATTTTTGAATGAGCGATGAAGCCCATGAACTCGACTGTTAGCTGTCATTTCACATCTCCCCCAACTCTGAGCAGTGATATGAACCCTTGTGTCCCAGCCAGCCTTGCTTCTAGCTTATTCTGCTAATTCTTTTCCTGGTGAGTAGCAGTGCCTGTGATAAGTCTCTCTGACAGAATGCAGTGACATGGTACGCTCTGCAGAAGAGCATTTTGGTAGTAAGCAATGAGTCATGTATCTTGTTAAAGTGCTTTGGGACCCTTAAGGGTGAGGCAAGCTCTTCTTACAAGGCAGAGACTGCAGTCCAGGGGTTCTGCATAGAGATACTGTACACTTAGCTCATCTAGCTGTATTCTGCAGAATAAGCTGCTTATGTGGATGGATGGTGCCAAGGAGCTCCCTTACGTGCTGTCATTGGCCGCAACTCATGTGGGGAGTTATAAAATAAGAGTATGCTTTTTCCGATGACTTCTGGTTCTAGGAGTTGATTGTCCCCCTTTAAATAGGCCAAATATCTAGAATTTTTCTACCACCGGTTAATGCCATTTGGAGACCTAACAGATGATGTTTTAGGGTACTGTCTTGAGTCTGTATTGCAAACTGGATCTAACCTGTCATAGCAAATACAGACATGCAGTCCTGGCTTTCTGAATCTCCCTGCAAGTGCTGTTCAGAAGAATGTAAGTTATTTTGTCATGCTTGGTTGCCTGTGATCAAATCATCCAGCTTTTTAGCCTTAACCTCAGGGGATATCTAAAATTACACAAATGATTTCAGGTGTCTGTCTGGCTTCAGTAAAACCAGACTGTAGTTGCAGCTTGGCATGCCAGAGTTCACAGATCTGTTTTCTATTCTGTTACTGGTTTGGCCACTTGAAGCAACTAGACGTTATCAAAACCAAGACCTCATATTCTGGGCTTTGGCTATTTTTTCTCTCCAATTTTCTGTAAAATACTTAAAATACGGAGAGGTACGTGGGTTTTGGTTGTCTGTGTTGTGGTTGGGGTTCCTTGTGTAAAATAAGTCTTATTTTTAAAAAGGCATTTAACTGCTTTCAGAATGTTTAACTGGTAGTGCAGCTCCTGCTTTAACCAAGGCTGGGATGGAGAGGAGACCCAAGTGCTTGGTCTGAAGCATCTGGTGTGCACAGCTCTTCACTGACATGTGGAAGGTCCAGCATAAGACTGCAGCTTTAACACTTGATCATGAAGACTGAACTTAACAAGTGCAAGTTAAGGCTACTGGTGGGATCAGGAGGGATTTGGAGAAAGCCAGGCAATGGTTTGTGCTTCCCAGGATGAGAACCTGCTTTGAGTTGGAAGCAGATACAGCTTCAGCTACATGTAGCACAGATTTGAGGCAGGTTCAGTTGCACTGGTGTTGCAGGCTTCGAAACCTGTGTCCAGAGCAACGGGGAAAATTTGGCTGCTCAGAGACTCTGCTTCTATCCCCTTCCCCATGCTCCGAGCTTCCTGAATGCAGGGGCTGAATGAAGGACAGCTGGTGTAACTTTCAGTGCTTGTGTGGCTGGATAGCGTTGGAGCTTGGATGTGTTCTGGTCCTGTCTGACACTGTGCAATGAAACTTTAGTTTGTTTGTACTCTTTCAGGGCTGTTTGTACCTGTGGGTTCTGTAATGCTAGTTAGCAACATAAAAAGATGTGAGATAATGATTGAAACTTGTTCTTGGTTCTCTCCTGTGGATGTGAGGATTATGAAGAGGAAGGGAAGCCAAGGCACAATGTTACAGTGCTGCTGAGGAGCCAGGTGCCCTGATGTGTTGGTATCTGGGAAGGAACTGGATTGACACTGCCGTTCTGGCAAAGCCTGGCCAGGGTGGTCAGTCCTTTCATTTAGGAATTACTTTTGTGAATCACTTTTATTCCTGTACCCATCTCCTCAGTAAATATATTTTCTCCCTTTCTTAAGGCAAAGCAGAGAGCAGAGGTACTTCAGTCCACCCAGAGATTCTTTTCTGAGCAGCAGCAGAGCAAACCAATAGGAGGCAAAGCGCAAAAAGTGGATGAGAACGGGAGCAAACCCTCCGAGGCGATTGCTGACTCTTCAGGAGTCTGCCAGGACAAAGCAGAGGAGAAGCCTGCCCCCGCACCTCCTGCAGCAACAAAGCCTGTTAGAACTGGGCCAATCAAACCTCAGGCAATCAAAACTGAAGAAACAAAATCTTAGAGACTGTATTTCCTTGGAGGTGGGGGGGGGGGAGAGGGGAGGATGGGGGAGATGGCGGCAGCAGCATGAATTTGTAGCCCCAAGGATGAGACAGCAGTCCTCTCTCCCTGCAGGGCTCTTAACTACATAAAGGGACATAGAAGCTGTCAGCAGTTATGAATTTAAACTGCTGTGTATCCAGCCGAGCTTCTAGGCTCTTTGGGCTTATTATTTCCTGTGACAGCATGAAGAACGCTTTCGATAGTGTGCACGTTTTACACGTGTGCGCATGTTTTGGCTTACACACTTATATGCTTCCCAGCCTGAAAGCTGAGAAATAGCACAGCGAGGAAGAAGGCGGTTGGGGAGGCATGTTCCTACCTGACGAGATGCATATTCTTACTTTCTCCTGATCTTCAGCTGCTATTTATCTTTTTATAAACTCATGAGTATGAGAACATGCAGATCTGAAAATGGTGCTGGGCCAAGTAACGTGCATTAAGTTTGTAGTGACTTGAGGAGCTCCCGTGTTGTACTAAACAGAGGAATTCACATAGCTGGCAGAATCACCTTTACTGTGTGACGTGTAACGTAGCACAAAGGCTAACGTGGCAGTGTTGAATTCCCTCTGAAGGCAGTGCTTTGCTGGCTGCTGCTTCTTGGATGACAATATACTGTATTTAGATCACAATATGAAAATGCTACTTGGCCACCTGTGTTCTCTACACCCACTCCCTCAGTTGTTCACCTCTGGAGTTGAAAGGTTAATTGCATCAATAGTCCCAGTTATTCTGTTCACCTCTGTCCAGCTATCTTTATATGAAGCGAGTGATCTTTAAACGGTTTCCAGCTTATGTCTGTATACAGCGATGAGCACTTAGAGCTGTGCCACAAGAATAAAAGAAACCTTGTTGGATTAAAGAGAATTTTATCTAAAAGGTGCATTCTTTATATCGGAGCTGCGTCGCACCACTTCCCTGCCCACAGTGTGCTGGAACGTAGAATCAAGTCAGATAATGCCTTTTTAATTGTATCCTCTAGTATTATAGCTGTAGGACAGTACTGTATGATACTTCTGTGAATGTAAGATATCCTGTACCTGCTTATGATATGTAGTAGTGACTGTGCTATACTGGAGCTGTTTTTAATAATGTTATTCTAGAGGTTTTTTTCCAGACAATGATTGAAAAGCTAATAAAAAGCACCAGGTACCACATCAGTAGCAGAACTTGCTGGTTTTTTTCTGGGATTTTTTTTGGTTACTTTTTTCTTTTTGAAAGAAGAGTGAGTTGAAAGTCTAATGTGTATAATTTTGTTCAGATGACTGCAGAAGCTGGAGAGGCTGTTGCTGCTATTGATGCCTAGTGGATCGCTCTTGGTTATCTTTTTATATAAATATATATATAATTTGAATTTTTGGAAACTTTAGCTGTGATGTCAACTTTGGAAAAAAAAAAAAGTATCCCACTTGTAGTGTGAGTTGGCATTGTACAGAAATTAACAGCCATATTGGTCTAGAAATGTTAAACTTAATTTTTTTTCCATTTGTACAGGGGTAACGCACTGTATTAAATATGTACGGTCTTATTTACATGGGTTTGATTACAGAAACTAATAAAGTATTCTCTAAATAAAGTATCCTGGTAATCTCATGATTAGCAAAGTGCTGTAGGATGAGGAGAGAGCCCAAACGTCACGTGCCAGGCAAAGAGTGCATTCTGCAGCTTGGGAAAGCAGAAGGGCCAGAGAGAAACTGAGTTTGAAACAGCTCTTTTGGTGGCTTCTCTCTGCTCTTACTGCTCCTGATCCTGTTCTCCAGTGAAGATCTCAGGTGACATGGCTTCCATGGAGCTCTGCAAGGAGCCTGCTGTTTGCATCTGCAGGATGTGACGTCGCTGGTGAGCTGCTCAGTGTTAGAGACTCGTGATGCTTTGCTTGGAGAAGATCTGCTTGTCATAGGAGACCTGGATTTAGCCAGCTGCCTGTCCTCACCTCAGCTGGTGCTGAAGGCAAGATGTGCCCGTTTCCTGCAGGGGAAATGTTCCCGAGGAAGCAGGGAGCTTCCCTCTGCTGCTGCTCAGCCCTCCTGCGCTGCTCCCTTCCCAACTCGCTGCTGCGGGGCCAGAAGGAAACAAAATGGCCAGACGCCAAACGCACCCACCAGTTCACACCATACAATTACTGACCTTTTTCTTCCTCACCCACTCTGAAGCACAGGTCTTAGTGAGGAGCTGAATACCTTAGCAGCCCTTCAGCTGTAGGTGATTGCTGAGCTCTTACCAATGGAGGCGCAGTATAAGGGGAAGGCAGCTGCTCCCTGCTGGCCACCAGAGGGTACGCTGTTCGTAACAGAGTTCAGTGCCTTTTTTCCCATTTCTATCTCGGGGCAGAGAAACAATCTTGCCCTGAGAAAAGGAGCTGGCTAGTTCTATCCCTCCAAAGGGCAGACACGGGAAAGAGCCGTGCTGCTATTGGGTGAGGGGTGGCAGGTTGGGGCTGTGCTTTGGGGGCAGCAGAGGAGCTGGAGCTCTGTCCTGTGTCAGTTCTTCTAGGGCCTTTCCTATAGAATTGCAGCAGTAGGGATTGGATCGAGGTGCTGTAAGCTGCAGCTGGAGCCATGTGCAGAAGTAACTCCTGAGTAGGTAACGCTGCAGATAAAGTGCTGTTTTTATGGGAGAAGAACAAGCACAGCTACAGTAAGCATTTGGGGAGATGAGGAAGAAGGTGGGAGAAATGAGTGCCTGTTTTCTGCTGGCTTGTTTTAGAGGGACTCTAAAGCTGGGAAAGTAGTTCACTGAGCTATTGTATTTCAGGGGAATTAATCTTCAGTTCTCCAATAAAACTGCTGGAAAAATCAGTTCAATTTCCCCAAATCAGCAGTGGGAACGCACTAAACTTCTTGATGCTGCTTGTGCTGAGCAGAACAAGGGCAGTATTTCTGTTGGAACTTAATCAAAAACAAACATTGGGGAGTTCAGTGTGCTATTTTGATGTACGTTCTCCAAAATAGCCTGGGCCCTCCTTCCTTGCCTTTGAGGGCAGGTGAAGAGTGCAGAGAGATTCCCCTCTGGGCTTTTTGTCTTGGAGTTGGGTTTGGTGTGTAATCTCAGCTCTAGGGCTCTCTCTGGCTGTCAGGATCAATTGCACTGAAGTCCCATGAATTGGGAAGCTATTTCATTTGGAGAACTCACTTTTTTTTTTTTTTTCATTAGGACCTGTCCATGGAAAGACCATAACTGTTCTGAAAGACAGGAACAGAGGGGTTGGTGTGAATGGGGCCAGAGTCAGCAGCTCTTCTCAGCTCAACCTTTCTGCTGGGCTTTGGGAGGGGAGAGAATCTCTGGGCTTGCTTTGAATAGCCTGCTAAGTCAATCTGTGTATTTACTGCTGTTCAGCTCAAGCCTGGCTTTCTGGAAATCCTGTGTACCTTGGCTCGTCTTCATTTATTTTCTTAGTCAATTAAATGACGGACTTCCCAGCCTGAAAAGCCCCCGGTGCTGGCAGGGAATGGGAGGCCTGAATTCCAGGGCTCGGTCCGTCTGGTCCTTGTGCTGCTCCCTGAGCTCCACAGCGCATGGGAACAAACCGTCCCTTCATCCCCCGTGGGGAGGAGCAAGCACACATGGGCCCCTCCACCCCAACTCTGTGGCCCTGGGCTCCTGCAATGCCTCTCACCTCAGCTCTGGGGACATCGGGTGGTGCCCTGTCCCTGCAGACAGCCAAAGTCAGGCTGGATGGGCTCTGAGCAGCTGATGGAGCTGTGGGTGTCCACGTTCATCACAGGGGAGTGGGACCTGATGGCCTTTAAGGGTCCCTTCCACCTCAGTTCTACCTCCATCAGGCCATTCACCCCCAGGATGGGTTTCAGAGCGAGGCAGAGGGCTGCCCTAGGGGTGCACACAACAGTTCCCCAAGGCCAGGAGTGCTGTGATAGACTGACGTTTATTGCTGGCAGCTGTGCCTATACTGCATCCCCTCACCCTGCTGGCCCAGCTCTCGGCCCTCATACAGCGCCCAGCAGGTGTGCAGGGCAGGCATGGGGCTGCGGTCGATGGCAGAGTTGTTGCACTGCGCTGTTGGGAGCCACGGGAAGGCCTCAGCCCTGGGCTCGGCTTCCCTCAGGGCGGCGGTGGGCTGCTCCTTCATGCAGGTCTGCGTATGGAGCCGGGCGCTCCACAGCACGCAGGTGCTGCAGGCCTCAAAGCACTCGGGCTCCATGGAGGGGGTGATGGAGGCTCCCAGCTCCTCCTGAAGCTCCGGCTCCTCATCCCTGGAGAAGATGGCGTGGCTGACAGAGAACGGGGGGATGTGCTGCCGGTCCACCTCGCCGTAGTCCTGCAGTGAAGTGGCTGCCAGCTCCGGGGTGGCACAGATGTGGCAGGAGCTGCAGGATATGGCCTCTCCAGACTTGGACACCATGCAGAGGGAGCTGAGGCATCTCAACGCGACAGAGGCTCGCCGCGGGTCACGGGGCTCTGTGCTACTGCCAGGCTTCACCATGGTGATGATGTGGGCACATCACTGCCGGGGGGACACCTTTGCCTGCACTGTTCTGCTATGCCCCAGCCCCACTGCAGGCCTGTGGGAGAAAAGGGTGCTCAGAGCCTCCAGGAGCCTGCCTGCAGCCACAGGGGCAGCAAGTGCTGACAATTGTTGGGATGTACCCCATCCCTTATCAGCCCTCACTTAAGGCAGAGCCCTCCAACCCAGGTGTTTTGCCAGGTGTTTTGGCCCCCAGCCCTCCGGACTCACCG